AATCTATTAGGTTCTTTATATATAGACTATTAAAGATATTATTAATTACTTCTTAATTCTTAAAACTAATAAAATAAACTTTTACAGAGATCTTCCCGTTTTACTAGCTATTTATAAGAGAAATAGATATTATTTCTTTCTCGGATATATTAATTAGGCCTTTTTTTCCTAATATACTATAAATTTAATAACTAATACTTGAATCTGCTTAGTAAGCTCGGGCTCGAGATTATAAATATAAATATTATTTTCTATTATAATTTCGGGAATATTTAATAGTTTTGAGATACTAATTATAAGGCTATTATTAGAGAAGTCCTAAGAATTAAAAACTTCCTTATATTAGGTCTCCTTTATTATCTTTAGGTTTTATATTAGGTAATAGCCTTTTTCCTTAAATTCTATTACTATTCCGAGTCTAGTTTTTACTAGAATCTTCTTTATCTTATTAGAAGGATTTATAACTATAATAAAGTTTATATACTTTATAATAGTATTATAAGTACTATTATAGGAAGCTTTAAATATATAGCTATATTTCTTTAGTAGTAATATATATATTAAGGAAATAGTAATTATAAATTTCAGAGAAATAATAATTATTTTTATAATTAATACCTTATATATAATATATTTACTCTTATAATAAATAATAATTAGGGCTATTAGATCCTTATAAGTACTAATAATAATCTCGTTCTTCTTTAAATTAATAATAATACTATAAGAATATAAGAATTTATTACCTAAAAGCAAGTAAGACTTAAGATTCTTAATAACCCAAGCTCTAATAATTACTTTTCCGAGAATATCCTAGCTATTAATCTTACCAGATATATATAATATAAATATTACTAGCCCGTATAACTTTAGCCTAGATCCGATTCCCTTTACTATTATAGACTATTTCATATTAATACTAATATCCGGATATCCTATAAGCTAATTCCTATTTATAAGAGATCAGGAATATCTTATATTAGTATAGACCTTATACTTTTTCCCGTTTATAATAAACTATATATTAAATATGAAATATATATATCCGGAAATAAATATACTAGTTAGTCTAATTAGTAAAGTATTAATTATATTAGGAATCTTGGGAATTAATATATTAGAATAAAAATAAGCTAGAAATACCGGGAAAGTAGCTTATACTTTATTCTAGGAAGAGGGTTCTATATTACAGGAACTCGAATAGGAAAGTAGTTCCTAATACTAGGAATTGGGTTCTTATTAGGAATCTTAGGGAACCTATTCGGATTTAATATTATATGAATTTATATAGATATATTTAAAGAGCTTATTATAAAACGGGAAGGGTTTCTAATATTTCTAATATATGAGTTCCTTAGAAACTATATAATTAATAGCTAGGTAAATCTTATTCTCGGGTTTACTAGTTTCGGATTACTTTTCCTTAATAAGAAAATATATTTCCTTATTAATAAAGTATTTGTTTTTCTCTAATTTCTTATTATATTAGTTTTTATACTTCTTAGGTATATTATAGTAGTTATCTTTTATAAAGTTTGCCTTATTATAGTATCTAAAACGGCGGAATCTATTACTATTTTATAAGGAGCTATTATTAAAGAAGCTAGATCTATAACGGGGCTTATTGTCTTAGGGCCTGTTTTGTCTTTCCTATTCCTATATAAAACCTGCTATTAGGGCTAATCTTGGTTTTAGAGCTAGTAGAGGCTTTAGTTCAGGTTTCTTATTAGTATTAAATTAAGTTTTGGGTTTGAATTAAAAAATAAAAGAATATTAAGGTCTGAAATTTATATATAAAATAAAAGGTCTAAATACTAGTCTAAAGTTTAGTCTTATTATAAGGTATTAGCAGACCTCATTTCTCGTAATAATATTAAAATTAGTATTACTTCTTTTATTCTTTTATTAGAATAACTACTATTAGCTTTATTTATTATCTTAAAATTATAACTAGGAATCTAGTATATTTTTCTATAATTATAACTTTACTAATACTTCTTTTATAAAGCTACTAAGGATAGTAATAGGTTCTAAATAGGAAATATAGATATGAAGCTCTGGGTCGAGGTTATTATAGGCTTAGGAAAGCTACTAGATTACCTCTAGGAACTCGGTAGCTTTTATATATCTTATAACTATAGTAATATATAATTATATATCTTTTCCGGAATATATATCTTCTTTAATAAACTATTTCTTTTATATTTTCCTTAATACTTTATTTAGTATATCCTTAAATCTCTTAATTAGTACTATATACTAATCCTCTATATTATTTCGTAAAAACTTAAGGCCGGTCTAATAAAGCTTATCTAATTCATTTATATACTATACTAAGGCTTTATTATAAAGATAAGAGAATAGGTTCTATCTAATTATGGCTACTTATAGACCTATACTATTATCTCTGACTTAGTCTATAAATATATAGATATTTTACTAGTATATATTTATTTCTACTATAATATAATTACCTTTCCCGTATAATTTATTAAGCTTCGGGTTAAAGAAGCCAATATCTTATAGTTACTATCTTAGGTCTATAAAATCTTTATCGGGATCTTATTATATATTCCCATTTCCGTTTCCGGAATATATACTATTATTATTTTATTCTATATTTAATACTTATATAGTTTATATAATTAATTAGACTATATCTTCTTATATATCTGGTATAAGGCTATTACTATTATTTCTATTCCCGGTATTTCCCGGATTATTGGGATTCGTATCTGGTATAGTAATATATATACCGGAACTAGAAGAAATGCCTTCCCTTATGATTTTCTCTATAGTACCGCTCTCGGGAATCTATTACTGGCTTTATGAATTACTTGTATTGGGCGGGGAAATAGTGGATGGTTTTACTATAGTAATAAATCGTTATAGGGCTGTATTGAAGGTATGCTTGCTATTGAGCCACTCTGTCGGGAAGAGATCGGGTTCGAGGGGTGATCGGAGTCTATTGGAATAACTGGATTGTAACTCGGGAGTGTATTCTCTTTCTGGATAATCGTATAGGATTACCTTAATTGCTATTCGAGTCTCTGGGCCGATGAACTCTACGAGTTTGAGGTTCTTGTTAATGATATTCTGAAGCTGGTGCGCAAGCTTGATAATATCCGCTAGGAACTGGCTTGGTATTAAAGTGTATTCAGATAACGTAATTGTGGTATTAATGGGCGGGAGGTCGATCTGGATCATATCGCAAGCTAGTATAAAGCCTGTGATAAATGGTTAATAAGGCATTACTACCATTATTAAATGCTGTATATATAGTAAAGGATGATTTATTGAGTTCTCTGTCTGAAAACTAGCTAAGTAGGGCAAAGCCTCGCTTATCTGTACACGTGCCATCCTGCCATATAATAATTAGTCTCTAGCTTACTTGCTATATTTCAAATATATTTATAATAAATTATATAATTATACTAGTTACTATACTAGCTAATATAACTAAAATAACTGAAATTCTAGTTTAATAAGAAAAACTAGTTAGATATTAGTTAAACTTATATAATTTTAGCTAGTATTATTATAATATTTTATATAAAAAGTTTATATTTAAATAGTTTTTAATTAATATTACAAGAATTAAAGAAAGTATTAATTTTATTAATTACTTATAAATTAATTTAAAGAAAATTTAAAAAATTTAAATCTTATTATTAGTTTTCTATTATTTTAAAATAGTAACTAGGTTAGTTCTTAATTAATATTTTTAATTAATACCCGGGAAGAGAAATATAAAAAATTTATTTGTCTTTATTCGAGTTCTTTAATTAAGCTTCTAATAAGCTTACATAATTATATATAAAGATATAATCTCTAATTATAATTTTTTTTACTTAAAATAAGTTATTTTTAAAGCTTATATAATCTTAATTTCTAATATAAAAAAGAATATAATAGCTTATTTCTAGCTTATACTAATATATTTTTTATAAAAAAATCTAGCTTAAAGTCTCTAAAGGGCTTAAGTAGCCAACTATAAGCTATTAACACTCTGGCTCTAGTTAATATCTGGGGGGTGTCGTTTTACCTTTCTGCCTGAAATAATCAACACCCTCACTGAGATTGTTTCCTGTTCAAAGATTCAGAAGCGCATCGAAGCCCAATGCCATTTCCATCTGACAAAAATCATCTGAGCCCCCGACCTAAGTAAGAGAGAAGGCCCGCATTAGCTGCTAAGATGGTCACGTGATAATATCAGACGCAATCCGACAACCTGCCGTTGTCCGTCGACTTCAACCTCACATCGTCAACTCCATCCATCGCCACGCGCAGTATGCGACGCATTCTCCCACCATTGACATCCAAATAAAGACAAGGTTAGACTTCTCTGTTTTGATCTTCTCCATTGCACGCCATATCCCTGCAGAACCAATCAATCTCGTCAAAGCGGCACATTTGCAACGCAGACGCGGTCTGTTTCAAAAGTCCCCACGAACCAGATCGACCGCTATGAGAAGATCCTAACCCTGAACACCCCCGCTGTATCAGGTCTTGGCACCAGAGTCTATAGCTTGGCCACGAAGATGAGGCTCTCAGACGTTTTAGAGACAGCAGCCGCATCGACACGCAACACTCGTCAGAGAAACCTCTCGCAGCAAACTTTATACCTATCAGAATGTTTCGGAGCCCAGCGCAAGAGTCGGATCAGACCTTGACGTGAAATATCGAAGCCGCGTCATACGGAAACATGCCTTCATACCTTGTCGGAACGAGTTGCTGTCGAGACACGAGCCCATCGGTAGTAGACGGCGCAGAAGTCAAGTGACGTCTAGAAGGTAGCAAAGCCTTAGCATCCGAAACTGTCCTTGACAGCTCAACGTATATATATCCTCGCTACGCCACTTCATGCCTTTAGTCTTGGCGTAAAGCCGTGCAGTTCTTTCCGCGTTTTTAATTCTTTCAAATATTATTCATCGATACGGCCGGTCCGTTTCTTCCTTCCTTCGAACAATAATACGTTTCACGGTTGAATAGATTTCATCATGCATTTCCAGTCTCTCGTCGTTTCTCTCCTGCTGGCAACGTCGGTGGCCGCCAAGGGCAACGAGATCGAGTCCACCAAGACAGTCTCCGAAAGTGGGCAGTGCAAGGAGATGGTCAAACTGAACAAACTCGTCGAACTCGCCTCCAACACCACCAAGCTGGACGCAATCACCAAGAATAATGCCACTAAGATAGCAGAGATCCAAGCAAAGGCATCTACGGCCTCCACAACACTTAAGACTTTGGAATCAAATAGCACCCTCATGTCAGCCTGCGCAGTGATCGACGCTCAAGCAGCAGAAAACGATCAATGTCAAGAAACCTTCGCGCTCCAACGCTTCGTCAGGTTCGCAGCAAACAGTACAGCAGTGGCAACGGCGACCAAAAACAACGCCACCAAGATCGCGAAAATCCAATCCGAGGCGTCCAAAGCTTCAACCAAACTGCAAACGCTGACCAGCAACTCGACTTTGCAATCTGCTTGCCCTGCAGTCATGCAGAAAGATGAATGTAAAATGATGAACAAGTTGCAGAAGTTCGTGGATGTTGCGAATAACCAGACGAAGTTGGACATGGTTGCGAAGGGCAATACGACAAAGGAGGCGGGGATCAAGGCGAAGGCCGCGAAAGCGCAAACGAAGTTGACCGCAATGACGAGTAATGCGACTTTCATGGCGGCGTGTACTGCAATCGAGGGGGAAAAAACCACAGCGGAGAATGGCATTTCTAGCACGAACTTGAAGTCTGCTGCGAGTATGTTGAAGGATGCAGGCGCAGGTGCTATCGGATTATCAACGATATTGGTGGTGGTGGTGGGAATGTTTGCATTGTGACCAACGCCATCGTAGGAGTTCTCTCGGACATTGAGCCGGACCGTGCCAGGAGGGGCTCAGAAGGGAAGGAAGTCCAATTTGCTGCATTTTTCCATAGAATGTATGAGCAGGCGGTCAGTGATTAGGAACTGATCTTCCGTTTCTCCCCAGCTCCAATCTTGGTGGCTGCCAACTTGTTGTGTTCGTGTTCCTGTGAGAATTGGAGAAAGGAGAAGTTGCTCTCCATACAAGCGGGGTAGTTCCTCCAATCCCTACTTTCATACCGTTCTTGTATCATTCTCGGGTTGGACAGAAAATCCGACACTCATTTTCAATATCCCATGTCTAAGTTGGACATTTCGCTGAACTTTGGAAATGGGGACTGGAGCTTTGAGCAATTGACGACCACCAAGATGTTCGAAGAAGTAGACTTTGAAAGTACTAGACCTCAGCGCGCTGCGCACATTCGTGGGACACGTATCTGTAATATTTAACTTGGTCTTGGGACATTGAAAATGAGTGCCGCTTTTTCTGCCAACTGCAAGTCACTGTCCTCATCTCATCCGTATATTCCCAACACCGCTGAGACAGCAAGGCTCACCCGCAGTCGTGGGGTACTGTTCGCCCTCTATCAGCTCACCACGACCTCCAACCAACATGAACTACCCACCAAACAGCACACCAATCAAGCCCGGCGAAGCCGAAGCGTCTCACCTTGGATCCGACTGATAATGCGACATCTTCATAGTCGGCGCCGGAGCAGCAGGTCTCATCGCTGCTCGTCGCGCCCACCATCGCGGCCTCACCCCTCCTCATCGAGAAAACCCCCTTCTAGGCGGGGCTTCCGCCCAATCCGGAGGAAGTGTCTGGATCCCCAACAACCACATCACGCTCTCCTCCGGTATTCAAGGCAGCCTCCCCAACGCGCTAGCGTACATGACCGCCACCGTCGAAAAACGTAGGACCTGTCTCCTCCCTCGAGCAGAAAATGGCCGCGTTGACTCATGGTCCGAAGATGGTACAATGTCTAAGTGAAACTGGGTTTAAGTGGTGGCTGCGCCCAGGTTTCCGGATTATTATTCAAGAAAAGGAAGGAACGAGCTTGGGGCGGAGTATTGAGGGGGAGGTCTTTGATGGGAAGAGTCTTGGGGAGTGAGAGGGGCTGTTGGCGGATCGGGAGGAGGAGAGTGCGGTTGCTACGTATGCTGGGGAGTCTACTGTGTTCCCGATTTTTATGCAGACTTGGGGATTGTTCTTCTTGTTTCTAAAAATTGCGACAGTGAGAACGGTAGCGTGGAGAGCATTGGGGAGGAAGCCGGTGACGATGGGGAAGTCATTGGTGGCGCAGTTGATGCTGCTTGTTAAGAATCGGGCGATGAGGATTTGGCGTGCGGCACCGCTTGCCAAGTTGATTGTGGAAGAGGGCAGGGTGGTAGGAGCTGTGGTCAACCGAGAAGGGAAGGAGGTCGAGATTCACGCCAGGAAGGACGTGTTGCTGTGTGCGAGAGGCTTCGCTCGAAAGCCGGAAATGCGGTAAGAAATTCTTCCCGGAACCAGCAAGTGACGAATGGACCATGGTACCTCTACCCGACACCGGGGATGCGATCCGAGCTGGACAGACACTGGACGCCGCCCCTGCGCTGATGGATGATGCATGGTGGTATCCGACTTTCCTGAACCTTAGTACAAACGGCATCTAGCACCTGCGAACGCTGCTTACCTCACGGCATTATCGTGGACTCTTCAGGAAAACGATTCATGAATGAGACTCAGTCTTATGGTGATTGTGGACAGCAACAATACAAGCGCAACAAAACTGTACTTGCAATTCCAGCCTGGCTGGTCATGGATTCTCAGCCTCGCAAGAAGTGCTTCTTATTGCGTGTGTTTCCTGGAAAGACCCCTGAAAGCGCTTTCACGGCGGGTCTTCCCAAGAAAGGCGCTTCTCTAGATGAACTGGCAAAGGAAATTGGCGTCGATGCCAAAGGGCTCGAATCTACGGTTTCCCATTTCAACGAGATGGTCGCCAGAGGAAATGATGATGACTTCAGCCGCGGGAAGTCATTCTACGACCAGCACTTTGGAGACCCAACCATTAAACCAATCCCAATCTTGGGAACTTTGGAGGTAGGTCCTTTCTATGCGATTCAAATCTGGCCCGGTGATCTAGGCACGGAGGGGAGTCTGCCCACAGATGAATATACGAGAGTATTAAGAAAGAATAGTAAGTAATTCCAGGTACAGTCGGTCCGATCCAAAAGCGACAAAACGGTCGCTCTTTTACGCCTATAATAACTTTTTAACCACAACCCTAATTAATGTATACTAAGTAATGCGATTATAGAATAGAAGCAGGCGAAAAATACCTATTAATTAGATTTTTAATATAATTTGTGGTTCATTAATAATCGAGGCTTAAAGTGCACGGACCCTTTTTACTTTTTTGATTTTCCCCCATACAAAACGCGAATATATTTGCTCGCTAAGGTCACGTGATCCCGGACTTTAGGGGGAGATCGCGGTATCTTACCAGCCTTATTATTAATATAATAATAATAACTAAGCCCTATAAGCTTAAGTAAACCTTCCTAAATACTAAATATAGCTTTTTCTAGTACTATACATATTATATATATAGTAGGGCCCTAATTATATGGGTTTCAAGCTAACTTTTAGCCGAACTAAATCTATAAACCTTACTTATTACTTAGCTACTTTCTTTCCCTTACTTTTGCATATTATCCCATTCGTCCATTACCTTTTTAGATATCGTTCTATGGCGTTTTTGCTTCCGTATACACCAAGCAGCTTGTTTAATACTTAATCCCTTCCGATATGCATCCATCCAGCGGAATATACGGTTGCAAAACCTCCGCATAGTCTCAATTAAACAAGCTTCAAGTGCCTCTACCACCTTAATCTTGGTATCTGGGAAGCTAGCCTTCTTTACTTGACGATATCGAGTTTTGCTATATCCCTAGTATATCTCAATTGGGTTAATTTCACAGTGGAACTTCGGTAAAAACACAGCCTTATATCCCCGATCTGTAATAAGCTCTTTAACTTGGGACTTCTCTTCAAAGAAGTCTTGGTGATTCGATAGTATACGAGCTAAACAGCACGTTTGTTCGATAGCGGGAGGGTATTCAAGGGGTGCAGTACACTTAGCACCCTTTGGACACTTAAATCTTAAGCCAGGTATATTGCAATCTCGCTCAATAAGAATCTGTTCCACACCCTTAGGCTCTCTTTCTCCATTCGGATTAAGTTGCCAAAGGGCTTGAATGGTGCCTTGTAACCCCGGAATCATACACTCTGGTAGAAAGTACGTATCCCTTCCATAGGCCTTAATATTACCCTTTTCAACCCCCCCTGGTGACTTATTCATACCAAAGGCGTTCAGTGCACCTTCGCCATGCGAAGCGTATACAGAAGACTGATCAAATATTAGAATAGCTATATAGTTTGGGTACTTCTATTCAAATATATCGAGCGTTCTAGTAATCTGTACTAGTAGCTGTTTTGTATCCCACCAGGGGTCCCCATTTGAGCCTGGATATATAATTTGACGGGCATCCAAATCGGGATCGTCCGGGATAAAAATGCCTTTATTATTTGGCACCCTAATACGCCCCTCAGGTCCCACGAATTCAGAATCGTGAATTAGCCTCCCTTTACTCTTTCCCGGCATTTTTTGCTGATTATCTACTAGCCAGAGGCTCTTTTTATAGTCAAATCCATGGAAACAGCTCTCATCGTAGAAGTATATTACGTATACCTGAACTCTAATTAGAAGTAAAGGTTAAATCGTATGTCACGTACCAGCTTTATCCTCCTCGTATTGAACTGTATATAATAAAAGCTCCTTCATTAATGGTAAAAACACCTCTTGACGATACTAAATCATATCAGGTCGTTCGTATCCATCCACATAAAGCCCTTTCTTAGTCTCATGGCGATAAAAGCCGAGCCTAGGGAGCCATAAGTAGGCTGTACTACGAGCGATAGGCTTTTCTATTATCGATAATAATCGAGGTAAAATCTCCTGATTAATAGCATTTAGGAAATCGTTTGGTAATATCGTTCCAAGCTCTTGATTAATTAACCAAGTCCGGCAGGCTAGAAAAATATCCTCATTGTCCAGATAAGAGGCACTATCTCTTTTACCACCCCTAGTTTCCTGCGGAATGCCATGCCACTGTCGATAATAATTAAATAGCCCCCTAATTCGCCGAGCTAGTATCTTTCCATTATTAAAGCGGTAATTACTGGAAGCTACTAAGAGCGATGCATTAACCCTTCCAAGTCGATATTACCCTAGCTTTAGAAGCTGTTGGGTATATTGCCGGAGTAAATATAAGTCAGCGATTACACGTAGAGTATATAGCTCTTTGGTTTGAGCTAGCTTAATATCCACATCGTTAAGGACTTCTTGATAAGTCATTCGTACGTCTAGAGCTTCGTCATCTCCGCAAGCGTTTCTAATAAGGGCATCCAAAAGTAGCTCGTTGGTTCCATCGTCTTCATCTTCAAGCCTTTGCTCTTCCCTTAATTACATATCCCTAGGGATATCAATTGGCCCCCTAATAATATCGAATTGTAGCCTCTTTTATTTAAAAGATGGTATAATTATAGGGGTCTTAAGCCTACTAGATTGCTCTGTGACTTGAGCATCTTTTGCCCTCTGATTATATACATGTTATTATTGAGTTCTCAATGGCTTTGCTGATTCCTTTATTAATTTGGAGTTATACGAGCCTCTGGAAGCTAGAAATAGTCTTAGTATACTTATATTATAATATAAAAATAAGAAAATAAGGTAAGAAACTTACTGGTTTGTTCCACAAGTCTCTGATCTCGCTGTGTAACTATAGGCTTCTCCAAAATAATCGTCTTATTACCACTAATAAAAAGCTTCCGCTGAACCCAAAAGAGCGTCGAATCTTCAAGCTCTACTTCATTACTTGGTTCAATATCTGAATCATCAGAATTATCCTCTATATTAGAGGGTTTCCCATGCCGTTCGTCGATAGTCGCTTGGATTGCAGCTTCTTTAGCTAGGGTGAGAACTGTGATTGAATCAAGAGTTGAATCAGCTCGCTTGCGCTTCTGAAGGCTCACAGAGGTAGCCATTGGAAGTATTCAAAAAGGGCACTTGATTGGGTTTGTGGTTGTTGAGATATTAATATAATTATGGAAGAGCGGTCAACTTAGGGGGGCAGTCACGTGACAACCAAAGTAAAAAAACGACCATACAAAACGCGAATATATTTCCTCGCTTAATCACGTGCATTATAACTTCCTTAATAATAAAGATATTATAATTTTGAGAACATAGAATTAATTCCTAGAGTATATAGTATAGTTTTAATTAATACGATTTATATTAATCAGTGTTGTGGTGGTTTTTTTTTTTTTTTGTCGCTTTTGGATCGGACCGACTGTATGTACTGTACACGTCGGCGTCCATTATGGGCAAGACTTATCCTGGGCCTGGGCTTGGTCCTGCGATGATTTTTGCGTATATTGCTGTGAATGATGCTGCTTCTGGAGAAGTTGTGAAAGGGAGTTGAGGGCTCGGTGGAAGGGTTGGTCAATCTCTCAAGCTACAGCTTTGCCCTCCAGTTTCCACTGTATCCACACTCGAAAATGACAACTCGCAATCGGACATACCAACAACTACCTCTCCACTCATGACCATTTTTATATTCATTAGTGTTTCAATTCCAAAAGTCTAGTGACTTCAATCGGCCACATAAAGTTTCAATGTTCCGCATCAAGAGTTTTGCCATTTTGTTGCATGTCGCACTGAATAAGCTCTTATAAATTGATCGCCCATCCCGCACTACTCTCTCCCCCTAAATAAATGTAACAGTGGGTCCAAGTGCAGGGGTTTTTTGGTATGGCAACTGGACCGTGCCAGGCTGGTTTTGCGGGGACCCACTGTTACATTTAATTAGGGGGGGGGGGAGAGTATTATTGCCATGCCTCTTCTCATTTGCCCCTCGGACCTTGCCATGAAACACCTCGGCTTGACGTCAGGGGCTGAATAACGCCTGCAGCATCCCACGGCCGCCTTGGCGAGGCCTCCTTTTCCCCTTTTGAGCTCCAATGCACGTGACAAGCCTCGATTGTTTATCTTTAGGTGAAGAACTATTGGGGTTGCTTCGATCAAGTGGTTCCTGGTGTCAGCTAGCCATAAATTGGTAACTCAACTGCCAAATCGCAACTCTAGGTGGTTTTCATTTTTCAAGCATATTTTTTCTTCCTCCTCAAGACATTGATCTCCAGGCATCGCAGCCCAGCGAGCAAATGGAATACAGTCCATTCTGCAACACAGACAGCTGAAACTTGAAACCCCTTCAAATCCTCCCTCCCCTCAAAAACTTCCAATTCCTCAGCACAAGCACTATCTCAAACCTCCCCCTCCAACCTCAACCAACAGCACCAGGCCCATTCTCAAAGAAACAGTATCACAAATTCAAGACCCCTACACCCTTACTCTTGGTCCCACAAAATCTGGATCAGCATCCTCGTCTTCATCAACGTCTTCGTGCTCAACTGGTGCCCCAGCGCAGACTCGCTGGCCGGCTCCAAAATCGCTTCTAAATTCTACGTCTCTCGAGCCGCCGAGTCTCTCTCCCCAGCATGTTAGGTCTGGGGCATCGCCGCTGGCGCACTATTCGCTGGTTCGATTGCCGAAATCGTAGGACGGAACCCGATCTGTATATTGAGCAGGGTGGTGCATCTTGAGTTTAATTTAGGGACAGCGTTAAGCAGGAATCCGGGGACGCAGTTGAGTTGTTGGTCTCTTGCTGGATTTGGTGCGAGTATCATCCTCTCGATTTACGGGGCGAGTATTGCGGATATTTTTGAGCTTGGGGGAGAAGTCTTGCGTGGCCGTTTGTGGCCACAGGTTCATTTTTCGGTACCACGTCCCCTTCTCCTGTTTCAAAATAGCTAATTGAACCCGTTTCCACAGGACCGCTCTCCTTCCCAGCCCCCGGCGCGTGGATTACCCAATCCTCCAGTATCTCTCGGCGTTGGTGCGATTGGCTCGCGCTCCTCATGTCCGGGACGACCTTCATCCTCAACCTCCTCTTCCTCCCCGAAACCTTCGCATTAATCCTCCTCCCCTGGAAACCCTCCCGCGGGCGCAAGCTCACATATAACAAACGCTACCTCTCACCCATAAACGTCTCAGTGCAAATATGCATACTTGGAGCGTCCACCAGCTTGGCCAATAGCAGAGTCGACCCGAAGGAAGACCTCGTCTGTTTTCCTGGGATCAAAGATTTCACGAGTTGCCATCGAGACAGCAGGTTGTTCCACAAATACAATTGGTCTGAGGAAGCATTGAAACTGGAGAAAATTGCTATAGATTCAAGAGCATGGCATACATGGACTATGACTGAAGCCCTGCGTACCTTCAAGTGTCTAAAGGGGTTCGTACTAATAGTGCATTCCTTCAGCTGTCGGCACACATTGGAGGGCAATCAGGCCACTGATCTGGCTTTGAAAAACTTCCCGGCTATTGCCTATTATCAAAACACACTAAACGCCTTTTGGTGGCTTAGACATGGAGGCAGAGAGGGCAGTAAACGGGCAAAGCCAAAGCTTGCGAGTATGCAATTAGACTGCGACGGGGAAGGATGCTGCCTGCCTGCATGAGTGTCTTCATATTAGTCGTCACTTCTCCGATCAGAATGCACAAGTATTAGGGAAATAGATTTCAGCAGTCGAAGGTCTTCTAGGGAAGAAAGAAGCGTATAGATGTCACGTAGCATAAAATCCATGACAGTCGTCTAAAGCAATGCTAAGCATTCCAGTGTTCCTTGCCTCCTTCGTTGTGTGATATTTAGGTCTACAATATGATATTTCTCTTGCCGATTTAGAAGTGTGGAAACTTAGTAAATTTGGCGAAGGTTATTTACTTGCAATTCCCGCCCTCCATTTAGATAATCTCTTCCTCCGACTAACAACAACAATAACCTGGGAGGATGACTATCGAGATCAGCATGACTTTGGAGTACTCGGAAAAGAGGAGAAGGACATCAGTCTCAGTCTACAAGTAAGTCATCTCTAATGTTCCGATTGCTATAAGACATGGGCTCATTTATACTAGGGCCTATCAACAGAGGTTTCTCGAGACCTAATCAAAAGCAATAAGATAACAGAACAACGATTCATCATGGATCAACAGGCAGGTTTTGTTGTTCATGGCCTTGCCGGTACAATTGCTTACTACAGATACAAGAGCGCTCCTCGAGCCTAAACCTCCCCAACCTTTGAACCCGGGTACGAACGATCACCGATCTGTCCGAATCAATCAGTATTTCCATCATTGCTTACGTGAGATCACATCCAGTCCAGGAAAGCGACCTCAAGGCCTTCCTTCAGGAATCCAGGGGTCAATTTCGACGGCTCTCCTCTCTTCTGGAGACGTCGGCCAGACCATCAACTTCCCCAACCTTCTAATCAAACTCTGTCTTAAGGTTTGGAAGCAGCCCATACAAGACGGTCACGTAGTGGACGTTTTGTATGGGTCTCGATACACACCGGAAGCAAAATGCAACATCATCGTGAAGCAAGAACCCCACACTCCCCTGTGGGTCTGCCGCGAGTCTTGACAAGTCGCAATGGAAAAGTGTTCACTGCAGCTGAATATGTCTACCAGAATGGATCCGAGGGAACATCTCTTACGTCTTCTTCCGAGGGAACTCGCCGTTCATAACTACCTCCAGACCGCTAGTCAAGACACAATGTTATTGCGAAGCAGTTGGTCCCAAGACGCACTCAATCTCAGGAAAAATTGCGATCAATTCTTGCTCATGGGGTGACAGCACTCTCACAAGATTGCTCGAGGCGTTCAGAGACATGGAGGGAATTATCATCGATAGTATTGGTAATCCTGTCGAAAATGCGGAAACCATGAGTTCGACTTAGCTCTTTGTAGAGTTCTCTCGCCTCTCATGGGCAAGATTAGCAACGAGACCTGGATAGATGGTGGGCTCTGAATCGAGGCAATGAGGTACAATGGGGGGGCATAGGCTTTTGGGAATAAAGACAACGCAAGTCAAAGCAGTGTTGCCAGGCTGGCAGCGGACGTGAGCGGGGTTGTTTCCCTTTGAACCACTGTTTATTTCAGGCGGGGGTTGGCTCACCTGAATCGATCGATTATTCCTCTTCACTACTATGATGATTTCACGAAATAGCTGAGCTTTTGTCACGGCCTGGGCAAGCTGTGGAAGTGGAAATGTATGTGTTTGTGTAAATATATGTATGAATGATGGTGCCCTAAGGGCGGTGAAGAAGCTATATATACGCCTGTGCGCAGCACGTGATAGCTTTGCAAGGCGTGTATAGGGAGAAACAATGTATCCGAGGCAAAAGAACATGAATGTACAAAATCCTGAAGACCCCATTGATGAACAATAGGCCTAGATATAGCTAATTATGACAGCACTTCTTTCCTCCCCTTGCTGCCACCTTTACCTCGATTGTAGGCAACTTCCCTTGCCGTCCGTAGTGTCCATTATCGAACTCCATCTGACTCTCTACACTTAGATGGTGGTCATAAACCTCCACCTCGTCTTGTACGTCCACTAATGAAAGATCTGTATCAGGCATTCGCCACTTTTCCTTACTTTGACAATTTGCCGAATCGTGAATCACAATGGTAAACTTCTCCAAGTTTTCAAAATAGACGAAGCCTTCAGGGCCACAGAGTCTCTTCCAAGAACGTGCGTCTACTGCCAATGACCGGACACTCTCTTTTGCTTCTTTAGACAACGCCTTGCCATTTATCAACCTTTGCTGAAGTTTCACCAAACTGTTGAACGGAATAAATATTGTATCCTCAGTGGGGTCGATTTGAGCGAAGCAATCGGTGATTTCCTCGTTGCCGAGTCGTAACCAATACTTTTCGAGTGCGACTCTTCGCGACTCCCAGTTGGCATGCAAGGCAGCGGGAGGCGGAGTATTAAATCTGATAAAACTTTTGTCCCAAGGATGCCTCGCTCTGTCGTAATAGACCTCGACGATCCGAGGCCCGGGTAACGCTAATTTCCAGATCTTGAGACGAAGCTCCGCCGGAAGCTTGGGGAAGAGGCTGAAGCCCGGCTCATTTGATTCTGAAAGGTTTTTGCTTGCACACTCGATCTTTCCCCGTGATGTTTGCATACTTTGGAAGGCGCCTTTCATGGCTGCCCCGGATCCGGATTTTGAACTATCGATCGAGAAGTCATCTGTTGGTTCCAGGTTTGAATGCGCCGTGGGCCGATTCCGCTGGATAGCGGACGTCGCGTTGGAGTCCATTGTCGAGCTGTCCTCTGAAGCACAAGCTCTTGGAGATAGTCTCTAAAATCATGTCAGAGAATATCCTGAGACGAAACATTAAGTAGCGCAAACCTATCCGTATCTATTGATATTTGTATGACGGGAGGTTGAGAAGTTTAGAAAATGTGGGATATACGGTGAGCATAAAGTAGGGGAAATGAAAGCCCCACAATTTTGACGCGATAAGGCTGATAGGGGGGTGATACGAGACAGATACGAGTGAAGACCCGGCATCAATCGCGCTCAAAATATGGCCAATACTTTCCGCACCCACTTGAATAACGTCCACCTTGCGTGATTAGGTTTGGCTATACAGGTGATTTCTCTGATATAACTTGTTGTCGATCTGGTGGTTTCCAATATTTCTAGCAAAGAGAAACTTAGCGGTGAAGAGGTTGGCCAGGATTGCTTGTTTGCTAGGGGCCAGGGCTTCTCATGAGTCGTGGAGGAATCGCACCGCTGCACTTTATGATCAAAGTATATCCTGTTGCCGATTCAGATAAAACTTCATATTCTAATGTTTGAAATGCAGAGACAAGATCTCCATGCTTCTACGTCGCGTAGCAAGACAAGTCCAACTTGGGAACCACAAAACATGCGGACCATGTCTCCAAGGTTTTTCGCATCCGTGGCCTATTTGAGCCATTCAATAGTATCGTCATTCTTTCTCCAAATCATCATCTTTTCTTTTGGGACAAAAGGAGGTCCGACGTATATGTGGGCGTTCTCGCACACGCGGGGACCAAATGCAGCCGTGATATGAGTTTCGGTGGGGACAATTCTTCCCTTGCTACCTCCGATTCGTGTAGTATTGTGAAACAGTGCCCTATTTACACGCCATTAGTTATGCATTCTCTCATACTCGCTGAAATAAGGAAAACATCGTCATCCTTCCAGTCACAGGATGGAAGAGTACCGGATGCCTATGGTAGTATGGGGTGCTTCATAGCAACCTCGCAACATATCTTCTCAACATTCTTTTGGTACTCCGCTTTCTTGGGACACGGGAATAGCCAAGTGAGATAGATTTCATGTCCTTGATAATTGACGAAGCCAGCTTTCAATATGTCCGGATTTTCTTCTGGCTTTCTTGGTGGCAAGCCCTCGAACTTGCTCATCGTGATTTAGCAAGAGACCTGTATCGTTGCCTTTGTAACTTTCTTCTTGTTTATTTTGGGTTGAATGGTTTCGACTTTGATGTTGCTTTGTCGCTGGTTTTATGTTGTGGCTATTGGGTTTTGAGTTGTAGGTTGAGAGAAAATATCAAAGACCCGGGAACCATTTGAGACTACCTCATATACTTGAAGCAAAACTCACAGCGAGCAAAAGTTTGATTCACGAACGAGGAGTATTCGAGGTGAATGAAGACTGTAGCTATCTATTTGAATGTTTGACATGGTCTTGGGCTCAAATAGTCATCGAAAAACTGAATTGTTCTGCCGAAAACTGTGGTTCATAGAAACAACTTGAATGAGTTCCAGAGGGAGACTGATTTCTTCCTTTTTTTTTGTTTTTTTGTTTTTTTTGGATAGAGAGCACGCTCTGTGCAACAGTCATTGCAGGCAGGTGAGCATCCACCCCAAAGCTCGCTTAATTCGCTAAACTAAGAGACAGCACTTACTAATTTAACAGCAATAATAGGATTGAAATGTTTGAGAAAGCTAGGTCCTGAACCTTATGTAGGTATTTCAATATTTGCTTCTGCAGCAAAATGAACATCGGTTGAAATTGAATGTTGAAATTGAATGTTCCAATAATTTGAAGTGTTGTCATAAAATGAAGCTACCATTTCCTACCTCAAGCGAGTTCATGGCATCAAAGTATTTATTCAGTGATTCAAACGCCTTCCTTCATAAATTGAGAACTTCCCTTAGATCTGAAACACGTTAGCGCTCTTCAAGAATTTGGGTTACACATAATTGATGCTGATTCAGTTTGCTGTGGTGAATCAGTTGCGCACGAAACGAACAAAGAGGTGCTCCGTTTACCCCAACCCACAAACTTATATTTTCTTACGAAGCCTTCCAAACACCCACAAATCTTCAACCTCCTAACTTTCCTCAGGGAATCGTTAAACATGGATCAAAATCAGACACCTCCAGATCTTGACATGTCCGCCGTCACCGATGCAAAGTCGAACACCATGTTTAAGGAAAGTTCCCCAAAAGGAGTACGGCTTGACGTCCCCGACGGCGTTCCAGGTTCTAGCACATCAAAAGTATCGGTAAACAGAGAGTCAGATTCCGCAGGACAAACTGAACATTCATATCAGAGCTGCGAGGCGGGAGAAACAGGAGAAACAGGAGAAACAGGAGAAACAAGCGTTGAGAAGGACGAAGACAACGACAAGGCACCCACGGGACCCCTCTACATGTATCCGAGCTTCGACGATGTGGAAAACATTGAGTATTACCAGCCTGGAGGATACCATCCAGTAAGGATGGGAGATCGAATCGGAGGACAATACAAGATCATTCACAAACTTGGCTATGGCGGATTCGGAACTGTCTGGCTTGCTCGGGATACCGAAAAACAACGATACGTCGCCCTCAAAATCATCCTTGCCGACTTCTCTAAGGACGCGATGGAGAAAGACTTGAACGTTTTGAAGCATCTGGCAGGGCACGTTGAGCGGCCTGGTGGGAACTTTGTTGAAATCCCCCTCGAGGATTTCTGGATCACGGGACCGAACGGAAACCATCTCTGCATTGTCTCTGAAGTTGCTGGACCAAGCATTGCCCATCTCACCAGAACGTACAATTCCAAGATCGAGCCACAGGATGCGCGAAGGATGGCGCTTCAAATCACGCAATGCCTGGCATTCCTGCACTCCGGAAAAGTCGGTGTCGCACATGGAGATCTCACTACCAGCAATGTCCTCCTCGAACTCGGCAACTTGGATTCCTTGCCCCAAGACAAGCTTCTTGAGATCTTAGGACAGCCAGCCGCGGAGCAGGTCAGGCCATACACTGACAAAACACTAGGCGCCGGTGCTCCAGACTTCTTCTATCATTCCGCCACCTTGACGAGGCTGAGCAACTTCTTCACAGGAAACATCGTAGTCATCGACTTTGGTACTTCCTTCTTCTTGGACAAGCCACCAGCGGGTCTCAGCAAACCACCCGTTCAATTTTGCTCTCCTGAACTCATCTTACAGAAGCAGAAGAGCAGAGCTTCTGACGTCTGGGCTCTTGCCTGTACCATCTTTGAGGTGAGGGCTGGAAGTCCGTTATTTGAGTCATTCATTTTTGGAGAAGAGGATGTGCTGGAGTCAATAATTGGAACTCTCGGTCCGCTCCCTGAACAATACCTTCCTTATCTTGAAAATGAAGGATATAACTGGCTTAAGGACGTAGAGGGGGATGGAGAGGAGCTTGGTGATATGGTGGATCACATTAAGGGGATCTTGGAGGACGAGAAGGTTGCGCTTTGTGACCTGCTCAGACAAGCTTTGAGATACGACGTCGAGGGTCGCTTGACCGCAGACGAAGTGCTTCGTCATCCTTGGTTTTCTTTCAAGCTTCAGGTTGGAGCGAAGGAGAGTGGCAGTGGCTACGATCACGTGCCTTCGACCTAAGCCGGGTTCGAGATGCTCTTTTGCTCAACATATGTAGATACTCTAATTTGCAATTGAGACTACATGGCTTCCATGAGTCCACTCTCGAGATTCTCTCGGTTCAATTGATAATAAATTGAAAGTACATTTGTAAATCTATCAAGTTTCCGCCTTGGTACAGTCATTAAACAGTAATTAACAAGAAGAAACATTCCCAACACCTCGTAAATCATATATATCATAAATAAAAGACGAAACGCCGAAGAAAAGGGAGTAGAAAGTAATTGTCGAACCAAAGACTTCAAATTAACTTGAACTTTCGATCTTCACCAGATCTAGTTTCAACAGTTGCGGTTTCACATACTACTACCTCTGGCTCTTTGAAATGAATCCACGCTGGTTCGACAGCACTAACCCTGCTTTTTAGGGACGTGAACGGGAGCGAGTAATAAATGAGCGGGTGGTCATTTTCTCTGCTGCGCTTGTCCGAGTCGTCCAAAGTGTCGAGAGAATTTGCTGCCCCATCTGACGAGCTAGAGCAAGAGCTGACGGAGTCCAAGTCATCGTCGGAATATACTGAGGCTGGGCTGTTGGGATATCCAGAACCCGGCCCGTCTTGATCAATGCGATCGTCAGTGCATTTGTCTGCCGATGGGGCTTTCGGCACGAACGTGAGCTCCTTCACGACGTAGAAGCTTGCAGCATACTTCCTGACATCCTCGGAAATTTTAGCCCTGTCGGGAGAGTCCAGGAAGAGCTGGATAATCTGTCGACCAATCTTCCTCAAGCCCTGGGCTTGAACGATATTCCTCAAGGACATGTCGATCTCTCGGAATTCCAAGAGTACTTTCACTTTCTGGTACACGCTGGTATCTACTTTGTTGTATTGCCACTGCGAACGAGGAACCTCTGATGGAGGGGATGAATACGCCACCGTCCCTGTGAGAATCGTATCGAGAAGATCAGGACTGACAGCAGAGTCACTTGTACGAGGACTCTCAAGCAAGGCATGGAGTGCAAACTCCTCAAAATGCTCTGCAGCATTGACGAATGTAGCAGGTTGCTCGAGCAAGAATCTGATCTTTGACACAGGCGGACGTTGACGCATGAGGATTCTGAACTCAGATTGGATGAGTCCGGGAGGCCATAGTCGGTGCTCGAAGAAGAATTTGAATGTTTCGATATCCGCCGTATCGAGTCGAAATGCAGATTGCAGAGTGTTTTCTGTTAAGCAGTCTTTATTTGCGTCCAGCACTAGCTTGACCATATGCAGGATTGGGAATCCTAACCGGGGCGGGGGAGGACGGGGCATGCCCGGCAGCCCAGGTGGCGGTGGTGGGAACCTGGGGGGCTAGATCTCGCAATGGCGGCCTCAAGAACTTCGTCGGTAGGCAATACGGATTGTTCTTTGGCGCATTCCAAGATTGCCCTGAAAGACTCCCCGATTGTGTGTTTTGCGGCAACAACCAAAAAGTGTGTAGAGAATCTGAAGTCCGGAAATTTCTCCAGGAACAGATCCAGAACTTGTATGTCGAATTCCTCCACCACACATTCGAAAACATTCGAGGTGATCTAGATGCTCGGCCATTGCTCAAGAACAAATGCTATAACTTCCAAATTGTTGGCCGTCCGCTCCAGTAATCGCTCAGTAACATTGAACCTTTCTTTGCCCGTCATGTGGCCAACAAATAGCTTGAGAATCTCTACATCCTTGTGGTTGTCCGCTCGATCCCATCATTCTCTGTGTATCTTGATTTGGGGGTCGCGCAATAGCAACAGCTTTAATGTTTTGACATTCGATGATTTGATGGCATGCTTCAGGACATTCTCAGTTACTTCAAACCGTGGATCGAGTTTCAGCAATATCTCAACAATCTCCACGTTTTTCTGCGCAACTACTTTGGACCAAATATGCTCCAAAAATTGCGTAACGAAACGGTTCTCCAGAAGTAGTTCAACTATGGACATACTTGATTCGTCAACGGCCTCGCCCAGAACGGCTTGCAGGATATCGCCTGTAGCTGAATCTTCCCCCTTGGTGTGAGCCAGTAGCATTATTATCATTTCGAGGTTGTCATCCTCGGATGCTGCTCTGCACAATGATGCCTCTAATATCGGGTCTTCTAAGCCATGCTGCAGAAGCATCTGAAAGATTTTAGGTCTCCCCTTGGTGATGGCAGCTTCCAAGACGGAGTCCTGCATTTTCATTTCTTCAACCGTATGCAGTAGTAGCTTAAGCATTCTGGTATTTTCCCGCGTTGCGGCGACTTCCAGGATTCTCTTGCTTACTTTCTGGCCCATCCCCAGAATCGTCTTCGTGAGGTCGATATTGTTTCCGACGGTTTGCTATAGCATTTCGTCTGTGACAACAAGTTCTGGGTTTGCCTGGTGCAGCATCTTGGTAATGTACCCATCGTTCAGAGAATTGGTGGCGGAATTCAGGAAGACCTCTTGCGTAATCTCAGTACCCTCCATTATCCTGGCTATTGAATCTGTTCTCCAACCGCCTACGATCTTCTTGACCAGTTCCTGAGGGAACGGTGATCGTTTGCATTTCGTGACGAGTAGTTCGATTACTTTCAGTGATCTCACCAGCCAAAGGGGGAAAACAGCATTGGGCATTTCCGGGAATTCGAACTCGTCAACTCCATCTAATAAAACAGCCAAGGCACCTTCACTATCTGGCGTGCTTTGGGCGATCATCTGCAGCAGTACATCTGTAATCGCAAGCGTCCACCTGGGTGAGTTCGTTAAAAACCGTATCGTATTCTCTTCACTCTTCCAGTGATTTACCAGAGAGAGGACGACCTGTTCTAATATCCTTGTCGGAGAATTGGGAGGCACAGGAATGTTGGAGAATGCTTTGGAGATTTGCTCGCCCCAATTTAGGTTCTCGGCGACTGATTTTAACAAACTCGTGGGTAAGGACGACCTGGTGGGCGGAGTACTCGAGACATCGATTTATCAAGACGTTTCCACACCCAAAATTTGCAGCCGCTTTTTCTGGAGAGTTTCCCAATCCCGAGAACCCAGATTTCAAACTCTTTCCCAAAGGGTTTCTTCAGGAGACAAGGGACACTATGGCGCTGCTGATTCCATATTTGGACTCACGCAGTTCTTCCTGGTTCAAGAAAGAAACCAACACCACCACCGATGACCAAGGCACGGTTCCAAGTACTCCAGTTTGATCCAGCTCTAATTAAGATACAAGAAAGAAATTGCTTGATCAACAGGCGTCTCAGCAGCCAATAACTGTTGGTGTAAACCTTGTCTCGCACTACATGTGTTGGGGCGAGAGGCCGGACATCATTCAAACTGCTTACGATGAAGCAGAACCAGGCTCCTTTTTTCAATGGCGGAGGGATGATCGGAGGAATGTGAAGTCGTATGAAAGTGGCTCACGTTTCTAGGGGTTGCGTTCGCCTTGGGACTTGGTTGTAAACCTCATCCTTGCGATTTTGCAGGTGTACGGGACCCTGAAATAAATATGTCTTTCACTCCGAATATTATCTTTCGTCCCGGCTCTTGGCGTCGAGGTTCAAAAGGATTTGAGACGGGGATGTATACCCAGATGCGTGGCGATGAGACCCAAAATGACTTGCAAGGTGCCGGCTGTCGTACATCGCCCCACGAAAAGTATTATTGAATATGGCGATTCATGATGTATCCCTCTTCCGTCTCCGTGTTTTGACATCGTCCGGAATGTGCGTTGGTTCGATACTGGCCGACTCTGTATCACCGACTCCAGAAGCTTCATCGCCTGCGCCCACAACCCAAGTGTTCACTATTTCCTTCACTTCTTTGACAACTTTCTCTTTTCCTTTCGCCTCGCCAACTCTCCTAATATACCCAGAATACACAACCACCTCGGCGACCCCTACCAGGATGCTCCCGCTCATACTGAGTGCTAATCTTGCTGGTGTGTTCCACCATCTTGCAGCAACCCAGATTGCTCCTGCACAAGCCACAATACTGAGAAGTACATTGAGAATGAGGGCCATCTGCCTGTCAACATCCGCAAATGTGAGACCGTCATCGTCTGGATCAGAAGTATTGATATTTTGGTAGCTTGACGAGAATGCATGCGCAGCGGAGGATGCAGGAAAACGTTGAGCGAAGGTCTCCATGGGTGGAGGAGGATTGGTCATTCGTTCGTAGGATCGTTCTTCTTCCTCGCGACGGAGACGGGTCATGAGAGCCTTGTACGCGGAAGTCTGTAGCCAATATGTCAGCTCCGATTCGGAAGACTCTATGAAAATCATCACTTACTGGCTCTAGCTTGGGCAGTGGAGCGGGCACATAAACTCTTGACCCTTTGAGGAGAGTCTCGAGGCCACTCGGCTGAATTCGACGAGCTTTCATGTCCCGAGCAATATCTACCACCTGGCCGTGTGATATTGGGTTTCCAACTTTAGGATTAGATAACGGAGGTTCCGAAGATTGCTTCTGAGCTGTCACAGATGGATCCTGATCGTTGTCTGTCGATTTCTCATTTTTCTCTTGGGCTTCTCCATCATTCCCTTGCACCTTTGGGTTTTTCTCTCGAGCATCCCTTTCTCCCTCCGCGTTTCTCTTAGGTCGTTCGAGCTTCTCTAAAGCCTCCACTATGGAGGCAGTCATGGTAAGGAGTACCATCTTGACGTTTGGTCTGTTGTTGTCGCAAGAATGAAGCTGTTCGAATAGAATTTAGGTTGCAGCATTGAAGCTGGTCGGCTAGAGTTACCCTCGGTGGGCCTGGAGCTTTGGCCAACAATGGTCTAGTGGAACCGATAAAAAATACTCGGGAGGGCACGGCTCATAACACCTCCTTCACTCACTTCAAGCCTCCTTGTATAATACCTTTCACACGACTCTCCTTCCGAGTTCGAAGTGGCAATTGGAGCTACGGATGTCCTGCAGCCTGCATTCGGGAAGGATTTCGTTGTTGCAGAGGAGAAGTTGAGGATATGAAATTCCGGTCGAGTAGAGCTTCATTGCTCTTCAACAGCTCCCCAACCGCCCCCATTCAGTTATATTCTACATGTTCTGGGTGCCAATTGGCTGGACGACCGTCATTACGAATTATCCCAACTTCGATATACCGCCATCCTGCTCGAAGGAGGCAGTCCGCGTGGGCTCAGGCTGTTTCAGTTGCGTCCAATGTTTTCTCCAATGCGACAGCACGCGCCGCAAGCCATGGAGATGTCAGCGTGGATCCGTTGCGAATGGTGGCCAAAGAAATGAAGTTCTTGACGGGTAACATACGGCAGTTGCTCGGCTCCGGACACCCCTCTCTCGATACTGTTGCGAAATACTATACTCAAGCAGAAGGGAAACACGTCCGGCCTCTCCTTGTGCTATTGATGTCAAGAGCTACGGCGTTAGCGCCAAAGTCTCCCAGATATAATGGCCAGCAAAGTGCCGCAGATATCGACCATGCCATATCGCCAATGTCCATACTTGCCGACGTGAATCCAACTTCACTTTCGACCAACCCGATCACTGATTCTCCAACCTCATATCCAGCAACTGACAGCGATATCCTACCCTCCCAACGACGTCTCGCCGAGATCACCGAGATGATACATACAGCCTCCCTGCTTCACGACGATGTCATCGACCACTCCCTATCAAGGCGAGGAAATCCTTCGGCAAACCTCGAGTTCGGCAACAAAATGGCAGTTCTAGCTGGAGATTTTCTATTGAGTCGCGCTTCAGTGGCTCTTGCTCGTCTGCGCGATGCAGAGGTCACAGAGCTTTTGGCGACGGTTATTGCAAACCTGGTGGAAGGAGAATTTATGCAATTGAAGAATACCGCGCGGGACGAGAAAAATCCTGTCTGGACTGAAGATACAATTACGTACTACCTTCAAAAGACATATCTGAAATCCGCAAGTCTGATATCTAAGTCTTGCCGAGCTGCAGCACTTCTTGGGAGCTCAGATTCCGTGACGGTCGATGCGGCATATTCTTATGGAAAAAACCTTGGACTTGCGTTCCAGCTGGTGGATGACATGTTGGACTATACGATTAGTGGTGAGGAGTTGGGGAAGCCAGCTGGTGCAGATTTGGAATTGGGGCTTGCGACGGCTCCTCTATTATTTGCCTGGAAGAACAACAAGGAGTTGGGTTCTCTAGTTGGGAGGAAATTCGCCAAGGAGGGTGATGTTACTAAGGTAGGTCATCTCTCCAAGCGCACACAGCAATATTGCTAACACTAGTACAGGCTCGAGAAATGGTTCTCCAAAGCGACGGTTTAGAGCAAACGCGTGCTCTCGCAGAGGAATACGTCAGCCGAGCAATTGCCTCCATCGATGCCTTCCCAGATTGTGAAGCAAAAGATGGCTTGGTAGAAATAGCTATCAAGACCTTGAAGCGAAGGAAGTGATGATCTGACAGTTTCTGCGCTCCTGAAAACCTCCTCTTACATCGGCAGCGTCTCTGCCATCTGTATAATGAAGCTCACGGGGACATGTGCATAGACGAGGATGTATTATAACGGCGTTTACATCGGCATAAGCTAGCAATAGCTCAAAATAGACGTTTGATGTTCATTGCTCAGGAGCTCTGCTGGTTCTTTGGATATTTTTTCGGTTTCTCATTCCTTGGTCTCAACCACAAATCTCCTTGCGAAGTTTCTTTGCCCTCTGTTCTTTTATTGGGCCATTGTCAGCTAGTGCTCTCCCTTATTGAATCCATTTCTGCATGTCCATGGTTTGTCACTAGCAAAACATGGCAATCCTTTCAATTTGCCTGGTTAACTTTGCCTTACGAATAAACTTTTGTCTGACAGGAACAGGCCAGTCCTTCAGATGATGCCGCTTTAAATGAAAAAGTCTTATCTGCTGGCTGTTTTACAACTGTTATAATAATTGCAAAAAGGAAGATAAATGCTGTTGATTCGAGAGCCATTAGCAGAAGCGACATTGGGACCAGAAACAGGAGGAATACTGAGGCCATTATTAGAAGCGACATTGGGACCAGAAACAGGAGAAACACCAAGACTAGAAGGATGCTCATGATTGTGGATACCATAAGGACCTGGACAACTCTCCCAAGCCTTCATGGCTACGGCATTCGGAGATTCTTCTGCACTAGGCGATGGGCTGGGAGAACGTCCCAAAGATTGCCGAAGGCGGTGGGGAGGCTAGTAAAGGGGACATCTGGGAAGGAGCATCAAAAATGTGCTACACAACTTCGTAAAGCATTCTTTTGAACCTCCCCTCTGAAAAATCTGCCCTGGGTCTGCTTGTGCAAACAGGAATATAATAGTTTAGCAAAAAGATGTGGTAATCGCTGTCAGTGGTTGCTACATAAAGATAGAATTAATCAATTGCCACAAAACCACCACGCTAGAAAACTTCAATTTTCTTTTAGATCACAGCATAAGCATATTGCTCCAGAGACGAAAAATTCGGTCCAAGGGCTCTCAGACTGCTTAATAGACTCAAGCAGGGGTGGAAATAGTGGGGTGAAGTCATGTGCTAGCGCGCTCACTAGTTTCAATTCGCTTGGCAGTCATGTCGCGTTCTTCAACAACACCACATTTTCTCGTGATACTTCACATCCCGCAACATTATCGACTTGACGACTAATTCGAGTGACGTTATTCGCCAGTCAGCCGTCATGGCACCGGCTTCAGGCGATTGCAGGTTCGCATTCACCTTCAGGAACGCTGTCAACTTCCCTACGCTAACCATAACTTTTCTCAGGATGCCTGCACTCAAGACCTACTCAAAGCGTGTCAAACACCACACAGAAGAACCCCCAAGCAAGAAAAGGCGGGTTGAAGAGCCTCTACCTGTCATTCTTTCTCCTCGTGTCAAGAAACCCGAGGGTAGTACGATACAGAGCTACTTCAGACCTCTCCAACGGTCTTCCAGCCCCTCCACAACACGAGTCCCCCACCACGCCTCAGACGCTCTCGAGCATATATCCTCTCCAGGATATCAGCTCCCATCAGATTCCCTTGAGCATACATCTCCAAGAACTCGATCCTCTCAACTCTCATCAGACCCCCTCGAACCTACATCTACACCGCCGTCTTCTCCGCCACCAAGGGTAGAACCCTCAATCGAACACGCGCGAAAGTCACAGAAAAGACCCAAGAGACGCTTAAAAACCCGACCAGTACTCACACCAATTCTCAACATGTCTACTCAAGGCGCGTCTGCTCACGACAGCGACGACAGTACCGAAATCAACGATGTTCAGGGTGGTGTTATCTCTTTTGGTATCAGTCTCCCGGAGACTGCCAAGATCGAGGGGCAAGACCAACACGCAGCCAACCCCCTCCCCCGCGCAAAACCGCACTCCAATATTTCCAGTATGAGCACTCAAGGCGCGTCTGATCACGGCAGCGATGGCGGTACCAAACACAACGATCACCCGGATGGTGTTCCTGCTTCCTCCATCGGTCATGTTGATCTAGCCAGCATCGAGGGTCAAGACAAACACGCAACCAACTCCCGCTTCCGTACAACCTCCCACTCTAGCATTGCCGGTTCTAGTATCCAAAAACTCCATCAAACCCAACTCGATATGGGCGCCCCAGCAATCAAGGCCTGCAAAGAGTGTGGTATGCATTACAACACCACTCTCGACGGAGATAGGCGTAACCACACCAAGTATCATAATGGTATTGTTCAAGCCAAGCAGCTCCATAGTGTCCAATTCGGTGTCGACTTAGAGGTAGATTACATTGGCGCCGACCATCATGCCATACGGGAGTACGACTATCGCATCCAGGACATGCATAAGGACCGTGCCTACAAAGCTTTGCAGCTGGCTTCTCACGATCTCGGTGGGATCATCCCTACTCCTGATGAACTTTGGTCTCTGATCACCAATCCGCAAAATAAGAATGATCGGAATCAAGTTCCCCGCTTCAAATTGTACCTTTATCTCATCAACATGGACCCTGTTGGTTTGCTGCTTGCAGAGCGCATTGCTGGTGGAGGAGATTACTACTTTGGTGTTTTCCCCTCCCCTTCCGATAAGACGGTTTATATGTGTGTCGAGAGGATTTGGGTTCGGGAGGATATGCGGCGGAAGGGAGTTGCTTCTCGGCTTGTGGACAAGGCCCGGACATGTTTCATCAGGGGTCTCTGTTGTAGAAAACTGGAATACGCCTTTTCTCGTCCAACCGAATTGGGGCGAAAGTTTGCTGATTCTTATGTTGTTAAGTCTTTACAATTGTGATTTTTTTTTGGCTTTTTTTTTGTTATTGTTTTGCTTTCAGCCGGTGTTTGGGACCTTTTAAGTGCATGATACCCAAGATAATGGCGTTGGGGCGAAAATAAATGAAGTGTTTTTCTCTGTATTTGAATTTGTCGTTGTGATGTCTATATAACTATCCAATACGTCAGCGGAAAACACTCACAATGAAGACCTGAGCGAAACCCCAGTCAAGGAACGACTGTGTATGGTCGGATCTACAAGGTAATAACTTCGGCGGAAAGCGGGGCAGATCCAAGCGTGCCCTAACACCCCGGCCGTTGCTAACCCTTTGTTGTGGTTCTCTTCTGCTGTCTCTTGTGTGCCTTGTTGCCCCTGCCTTCGAGTCCCCGATTCGCATTTTCAGCAAACTGACCTGTGCTTCGAAACTTTTGCAGCGAGTAACATCTCCTTCCTAACTTGACGTTAGTATGTATCCCGAATCTTTCAAAGCTTGCCTCTTATTAGCATATCCAGTAGAATAGAACCCCTTTTATCCCCCCCCTCCTCTTCAACACTTAGAAAGTTTTGCCGCCGTCGTTATCTCCAAGCCATATATATCCTACGCTAGGTATATCGTTTTATGATAGTTAACATAAGCATCTTCCGGATCAAATGTCGTGATTTGATGGTCTGCATGGGCGAATCTACTCCAGTGCCAGGCAGATTCTGCTTGTAGACTATCTCTTTTGAGAAACACCTATACTCGAATTGCCATCTGATGGCGAGCTCACCAGCCTCTGGAAAAATAACCCACACGTCGTCGTCTTCAATCTCAGCGGCCTCACGTCGTCGCACTCCCATGTTTGGCCATATTCAGGGAACTTGAATTTCTATACTGTGTTCCATTTGGAGGGCGTGTTTCTGGTATACCAGATTGGATTTGAGGATCAATATTCCCTGTGAATACCGGATTGGGGGTTCTGCTTTGAGAGGCCAGGGGATGATGGAAGATTGAATAAGAGTGTTGACCCACAAAGAAGAGATGGGCCGAACGCCTAGTCAAGGAAAGACTGGCTATCGCCAGATATAGAAGGTAATGGCTTCAGCGAAAAGGAGGAGAGATCCAAGTGACCGTCTAACTTCAGGGACAGCTAACCTGTATAACAATCCTTTAGTGGAAAACTCACTTGGTGAATAGATGTCTCCCGGACCAGATGTGTAGCATTTATCCCAGAGACGTCATCGATTTGGGCGGAAACTAAAGCGAAGGAAAGAACTAGTTAGTATCGGATCTTGAGGGAATGAGTCGGGCAGAACGGAAGAGAGACAACGTCAATTCGATTGTGCTCAAGCTTCGAGCAAGTGATGTATCACAGAGTTCTACAGCATTGGGAAGACAATTACATGAATGAAGTCAAGAATACTGCAGATGGTTATATCACAGAGTTCTGAAACACTGGAAGGGCGATTGAATGAATGAAGTTAGGACCATACCAAAGATAATTGTATCAGAGCTCTGGGACATTTATTGCACATTTGTGTCAATGACTCCACGGAGTAATAAGAGGGAGGTCGCTGTTATCGAATTCCGAAGGGAATGAGGTCGGCACAAAGGAACGGGTGCGGATTGTTAATTCTATTTATGTAAATGCGCAAGTAAAGAGCTACCTATCCTCGGATCTTCAAGAGTACAAGTCTAACAAAAAGCGCGAAGGACTTTGGAATTTCTCTTGACATGATAATATCAAAAAAGAGTGATCTAGAGCCCAGGGCCTAGGATGTTGAGGCTTGCCGATTTTCAAGTCAACATCACTTTCACATCCAGGTGAATCACCGGATACCATCCTCAATCTTAGTTTCAAACCACATGTCAAGAACAGTGGCTTCAAAGAGCAGGGAAACATTGCTCGAGGTCAGCTTCGGCGGAAAGGGTGCCGGGAATGTTCTTCAGCTTTTTCTTAATCGTATCTCGCGTTCTTAAAATCCAAGTCCCGCTTTCTAAAGTTCTCGCGAGTTGCGGTGCATTCAGCTTCCAACTTTCCGAATATTCTTCACTTCTGTGGGCCTCATGCGTTATACCTCCGTAATGTCCTGGAAGCTGTGGGGCGTTCAGATTTTCCGTTCAGGTAATGCTAACTTGGAAACCCCCAGCGTAACGTTGAGACACAGTCTCTATGTTCTGCTTGAGCTGGTGAGCTCTCTTTGAAATCTCAATTTTCAAGTTCTTGTTGGAAAGAGACTTTAGATCCAGTGAGACCATTCATAGTAGCCTCATGGTGGAAGCGATTGCAGAGTTTAATATCCCGGATTCCTTGAAAAATTGAGATGTGCTCGATTCTTGGATTGGTCTGCGTCACTAGACGCGGAGGAAACGACCCATGCTCTGGCAGAAGTAGGGTATCAAGATGAGTCTCATACATGAAAGTATGCGTGAATGTACAGAAAGGATATCTGGGATAAGAGGAGCTTTTCAATCTATCGAGATTTATCTAGCCCTGTGGGATGTATCATCAATCTTGGCCACATGCAAGCATAGATTTGGCATCCCACCAACCTCCGTCTCTATCTCACACAATTCCAATTCCAAAAAAGGCTTCAGCACCCCTACTCGATTTCTAACCAACGTTGTCACGCTTGTCAGAAGTAGCAGCAGCGAAAGGTATACAGACAGCGAGGGGTTAAATCATCATGCACAGAAGTGACACACCTCAAGCGATCAGCCTGATCGGATACTTGACGATGCCCTTCAGCAGGAAATGATCTCGAACTACACTCGACGCTTTCTTTACACCGTAAGAACAAGACTATAGTTGACGGAGACCAGCAGCCAAGACTCCAACTATGAATTGTTTCCAAACGTCACGCTCTACTTTTTTCTTCAACGACGAATTCGTAGGGAGAGTCTTTCGAGATGGGAACTTTGCACCAAAAAGACGGCGCTTGAGCGTCATAAAAGCTAGGGAAATAGAACTCACGCCGTCCAAAAGCGCAGATGTGTGACGAAATAGGCGGGGGGGGTGGTGTCTTAGAGGATATTGAAATGTTGATGGATGCGAACACCAGAGGAAGCAAAACCTGGGCCTCGTGGTACACAAGCTCTTCATCGCTACCTCCACCACTGCTCCTGTTGGAGAATCTCTCTTCTTCATGGCACTGGTATTGTGAGACATTGGGGAAGGGATGAGCTTGTGATCGATTCCCCACATGAACCTCGAAATAAGCTCGTGCACGGACCATGTCGATAACGATGAAGCGGAACAAAGCAAACTCAACCCGAGCACTCCGTATTACGACGACCGCGAACACGACGATCATGACCTGGCCCACCCCCGCCGTATGACAGTAATCACTTCACTGTGGCACTGCACACCTACTGTCCTCGAAAATGGCGGCAGACCTCCCCTCCTCCAACCCGTTCAGGAGGAAAGGGCTTCCGACAGCTACTTCCATTGCTCCAGAGACTCCCGCCTCAACAGTTAATCACATCGCGTACTTGCAAGCAGATGTTCGGCCTGGCTCTGCAGACCTCGGCAATATCGATGCTCCGAAGAAGATCACGAAGAAAGTGCGCGTGCAGTCTCCTCCTCCCCTCTCCCCCTCGATCCCAGACTCTACCTCGACTATAGGCGAGGAAACATATTCGATATCTGCGAAGCCACCTACACCAATTCCACGAGATGATGATCCTTTCGATAGCACAAACTCGGACTCGTCCGAAGATGAAGAGATTACGATACCTGCCAAAGCTCCGGCAAACCCGTTCTCGAAGACCTTGGAGATGATGGAGCATCCGGAACGAGGAGGACAGGTAGCAGCCCCAACAAACATTACAAGTCCGGGGCGGGCATCTATGGATGTGGAGGCATTCAAGAGGTTGCTGATGACTGGGGACTCCGGGATGGGGACACCCATGGGACATTCAGGATCCCTGTTGCAGAAAACACATGCTCTGGGTGGTGATGGGACAGCCGCAGACACGGCAACATGGCATTCGGGGACTCCGTCACAGAAATCTCATGCTCTAGGCAATGATGGGAGCAGCACGGATACATCATCCGTATCTCGACAATCAATATTCGAGCCTGTCCAGGAAGCACATCCGGAATCACCACGGACGTCACATGAAGTATCAGAGCCGGAAGATGAGAGAAGGCGCTTGAACACAGAGTTCCATTCCTCAACCCTTGGGAGGAAGGCACCTCCACCGCCGAGTTCGAGACATGGAAAGCTTATTAAGGTCGAACTGAGAGATGATCCCCAAATAGTGTATTCGCCTCCAACTCCAGGTTCGATCACATCACCGACTTATTCCAACACGAGTCCTCGTTCAATGACCGATCCTAACCGCTCCCAGACGGATCTCAACAAGCCTTTACCCCCTGCGCCTAACCGCACAAGCCACGACTCGGACCGTGAATCCGTCTTTGACAAGGAAGCAGCAGGGAAGACGCCAGAGCCCCCTTCTCCATCTTCATCAATACGAAAAAAATCTGCACCGGCACCTCCTATTAAGCGACGGCACAGTCAACTTGTTCACAACTCAAAATTGACTCACGGCGATACTGGGAGACTGTCCCCGAAAGCCGAGGAGGAATCCAACGTCTCAACGAAAAAGGAGAACAGACCAAGATCCAATAGTGCTAGGGCTCCTCCTCCACCTCCGGCAAGAAGACCCACAGTTCGGGGATCCTCGCATCATGGGCCATTGACATCTCCTTCCGCGATCTCATTGCCAGCTCCACCGCCATCTCGAGGCTCATCTCGAGCAGGCCGACCACCATCGGTTCTCAGCATGGATCTTTCAAGTGACAAACGAGCGTCTATGGCACCACCGCCTCCTCCGCCTCCTCCTCGCCATGGGCGGAGGATTAGTACGGATGCTCACTCACCTGGAGAATCGAGGCGGACAAGCGGTGAACATCCACGGAGAAGCATTGAGAGTGCGCGGCGAGGCTCTGTATCGTCATCGATACGTGAGGAAGAATGGCTTGAGAGCAATGTAGGCAGACCTGATATCATGGCAGATTTGAGTGCCTTGCAACGAGAAATTGATGCTCTCCGGATTCAGTCTGAGAGAGAAAAGGTCACATGATTGCTGAAGCCAGTGACGGAATTTGTGCATTACCCCGCTCACCGCTTCTCCACGTTATGTCGCATCTTCGGGAGAGGACTAGGCCGGTTTCATCGATCATGATTCAAAAAAAAATATCAAGTGATCAAAAGTCTTACAACAGCTCGAGACGAGCCGCCACCTGCTCATGAGGGCCGGAGTCCGAGCACACATATCGATTGAAGGAGATTCAGGACTGCGGATCTTGTTTCACAGCCGAGCGATCATAGATTTCGAATTATATGGCGGGCAGGCATCACGGACGGGACGGGTGTTTCTCGGCTGAGAGAAGGTTTCCTGGAGACGAGGATTGGGCGTTAGAGGCGTTGGACTCGTTGGATTGCATTTCTCCATCACGGATTCTACTGCACATCACATGTATATCAAGTCAAACTCTGAAAAATGGGGACGTTGGGTCATCGTTTGATCCAAATCCTCGGCAATCGCTCTTTCCTCAGCTCATCTCCAATTGCAAGCCAGATCTTGGGTGTATTTCTAGCACGTCAGCTTCCCATGCAGGCCAGGGTCGCATGACAAGTCTCTATTACCAGAAATCTAGGATCATAGGATATGAACGATAGAACTATAGATCCAAGCTCTCACATGACGATCCAGACGCCAGGACTGACTCTGACTGGAGAACATCATGAATCATGGGCAACCATTCCAACGGTCTCCCAGCCACAAAAGTTCGCAAGCCACTAAACACAAGCTTGGAGCTCCAGCTAGCTCCAGCTAGCTCACGCAAGCAAGCAAGCAAGCAAGCCCAACCCAAACTTTCAAACAGCGTTTTTCGATCGCTAACTGTATCTCGAGTCTGAGCGCCGCTGTCAAGCTTATCCCCGGAAACCACTTCAGAAGTTGACAGGATGTCGAGCTAAATTAGAGCGGGGCTTTCACTACCGGTAGTGCTGTGTGACAGAAAGGAGGGGCATATCACGTCTCCACTTCTGACTAGCTGTTGCTGATCAGTGGAGGCCAACCTTCCGGCCAGATCCGAGCCTTCCCTCCACTCAGCGCGCAGCGTTGGCTAGCTCGACCCCAAATGCAGGATGCGAGACACGGCACATTTCTAGCAGACAGTTTATCTTGAACCATCAAAGTCTCTGTGGCGCCCTTGTGATGCAACCTGCTTGCGAACGGGGTGGAGCGGGGTCTGGATCCCCATTATTTGCGATTATTGATTTATGGCTTTACTTCCTGGGTCTGCCTCCCGTCTTCGACTTTGGGACGCGAGGAGATTATTCGGATTATTCGGATTGAGAATGTGGTGTGTGGCGGTGGGATGGAGGGCTTGGCTCTTGCGCAAGAGGGGCAAGGAGCTCGAGAACCCGCAACTGGGCTCACGGCTCTGGGTAGGGATATCGAACACGGGAAACGGGCTTCTAGGGGTCCATTTGGGGTGACAGAAGCCGCGGAAAGGAACAAACAATTCGGATTGTTTGTGTGATCAGGGAGTACATGATCGTTCCAGATTCCCAGATCTTGGGGTGTGCAGATCACTTGGTACAGTATCGCGAAGTGGTGGATAGTATGCCCCCTGCGGCTTGGCCCCATCGTCTGCAAGTTTGTCACAAGTCTGGGCTGGGTTCTTCGAATGAGTTTGATGTAAGGGCAGGGACGCTACAAAGTAGTGCACGGCAAGTGTGAACTAGAGTGTTCAACGACTCACGCAGAAGTTGTCACAATTTCTTGATGTACTCTAGGAAGTATTAATATTGAGACGGGCTGGCGCTTTTGTCCAACCACTTTGCTTTTTCCTGCTGGAGCAATGGGGGAATTTGGAGCTTGAAGGCCCTGTTTGGGTCAGCGTGTCGAGCTTTACCAAGGAGACGGATCGGTCACTTGTGACAGAGTCTGGAGAGAGGACGGCACGGATGCCGGTGTTTTTGCTTTTTTTCACTGAAGAGTGTTTGGGGAAGTGGTATATCCCGCGTGTGAGGCATAACCGTTTCGAAACCTTCAGCCCCTCGTATTCCTGGATTTGGACTGCGGCTACAAAGTTGCTCACGTATCAACCGTTTACACCCATGTTGAGGAGGATCTCGGTACGTCCGTAAGGTTCAATGTATTCTTGCACGTGAGGTTGCCTGTCTGTTCAGTTTTACCGTGAAAGAGCGTGTCATGGACCTTGAAAGGACGAGGGGGCACGGGAGATAGGGTACAGGCCGCATCTTCCCCCTTTAGGCCTGCCGAGGAGACAAGTACAGTCTAATGCCCAAATTATGAAGGATGGTACAAGTTTCCTTCGACGATCCGAGAGAGCGGATCCTGGAGGCAGAATTTTGCGGAGAAGAATGTCACTATTTCCGGCGAACCCCCACGAATGCAAATGAGCAGGATGAAGGCTCGGGATACCGAATCGAGAATAATGAGAAAAGGAGCTCCGAATTGACCCGCTTTATTAGCAACATGCGTCTTGTTGTTGGAGCAAACAATGCATGAGGGCATGAAGGTTGCGTGCCACAACAGCAAACACTTTCTTGGAACTGAAAATAAAGGTTAGGGTTCGACGGTCAACAGAACGCTGACACTCGTCAATCGAGATGTGCACGGACTGCAAGCAGGGCTTCGTAACCTGAAGATGGTTCCCGAGGCGGGAAGACGCGAGACTACTGGGCGATCACTTACTTCATTACTTCATGAGTCCTTGAGGAGCAAGTCGTCCGAAGCTGCTGAGAGGCTGTGGGCTTTCCCTCCTGCCAGGAGCAACCTTGTGCTCAAATGCAGTGTCGAGATGCGGCACAATGGTGGGGCCAAATGACTCCCTCCGAAGGTGTCGACCCTTACTGAGGGATTCTTCGAGATAGGAAAGTCGTCCGCGAGGCTTTCCTGGTTGGGAGCCGAGCCCGACGGATGTTCCCTCAGCTGGAATCCAAACTTGGGAATCGCCTCAACAGATTCGGAGACTCCTGGACGTGCCCACGGAGCGGTAGCGACATCATGCAAGAGACGTTTTGCCCAAGGCCCAACACGAATCATGTTTATCCGTCAGGCATGTGCCAAAGTGAACTCCTGCAGGGCATGGACCCCCCGAAACTCGGCGGAGGGGCCAATGATCAATCGTCCAACCGACATGTTACCAGAAGCCCGGTTTTCGAGGGTCAACTTGGACCGAGATGCGGCCACACCTTCACCACACGCCTGTTGGCTGATGAGGCCATCACGCTCTGGAGCGACTCATGCACACCGTATTGCTGCAGATGATTGCTGAAGGAATGGAAATTGCTGCAATTTTTGTGCGACACATCAAGTCTCAAGCCTTCAAGGCCCTTCTTCACCGCAAACAGCTGGAGGTGTTGTGGGAGTTCAACTGGTTTCCGGGATGCCGCATCTGGAAACATTTGCGACGACCCCGGAGATCTGTAAATATATCTCGGGGGATTTTCAGGGTGCTAAAGTTCAAAGTTCAAACCCTTCGACACCAGACGACGGGGGGTCAGGGGGGGCGTGATCTTGCCCGCAAGCTAAGCAGAAAGCAGGGTCGGCGGCCAAGGGTGTTCTCCACGGGAGAAATTCGGGGGGGGGGGGGGGGGGGGGGGGGGGGGGGGTTGAGGGGGAAGCACTTCACTGAATCACTGCAAGGAAACACACAAAAGTGAAACATTTTGACGCGTGAGAGGATGAGGCGAGGCGTGGCTGCCGTGTGCGCCGTGCTGGAGGAAGATTGGCTGTCCACCCAGCCTGTCTTAGATTGAGGCGGAGGTGGGATTCATTTCCCCACACAACTGCAGTCTGCTGTGAGGGAGGCCGCCAGGACTCGAGGCACCCTTTCGACTTTCGAGGGCACATTCGAGAGGGGCATCGAGCGCCTTGTACTCCCACCATCCGGCACTCAAGTGGTATTCTAGATGCCCAGGCTGCGAAGGAGTGCACGACACGAAGAGGCCAATGGCATTCCTTCGTTGCCGATACTGCACGTCTTCTTCGTTCACCGCAGCCGTCAGACTGACTGTATCTCCTCTCGTTGTACGCTATGCCGCTTCGGAGTCCCTCTCGTTGGCTGCGATCCCCAAGTTCGGGTGATCTTCATGGCCGTTTCTCAGCCATGTCCGCCATGGCCATGAGACCCCCTGGAAGCCTGCCACCTGGCTGCTAACCACTTCCGTTCATCTGCCGGTGACAAGGCCTGGCATTATTATCGGGCCCGCATTTCAATGGAACCGTCGTCGGGAAAGTCGTGATGCCCCCGTCCAATTTCTGGAGCGTGGGGTTGAGAGATGACGGAGACGGCCGCCTTCTGGCTCTTGACCCCAGCTCTGCAGCCTTCGCTGGACAAGAGGGGTCTTGCTCTGCCGTGCCCCAAAATATCATGTTTCTGAATGGAAACCATGGGCGGCATGGTTCAGGCTTGAACGCTTGCCTTGGGCGAGAACAACGTGGGATCAAAGAGTTGCTTGCTTGCTTGCCTGCTTGCTTGCCTGCCTGCTTGCTCGGCAATCTAAGCCACGCCAACTGAAAGCAATAGTAGTTGGGGAAGCATGGAGTTGAGCTCCTCATTGCAATGTTTACTTCGCTCTTTCGGACATCGCTTCAACAGAGCCACTTCTTGCACGACCTTGGGCCGTCTTCCGCATATCGCTCCGCTAACAGCGTATCAAAACTCTAAGAAGTGGAGGTGCGGCTGGTGGGTCTTCCCTTCCAGATCGTGCCCGCAAGTCTATGAGATCGAAACCAAACCAGAGGATCCTAGTCAAGAGCCCAAGGACAGAAAAGTATCACTCTCCCAGCTGCCCTGTTTTTCCCGTGCCCAAACTCGGCCTCTGCATCAGAAGGGCTGGGGTCATTATTGACTGAAAGCTCAAGCCACGGCTCAGGGACCAGACCCCCTCACTGCCCGACCAAAGGGACGACTCTGCATCCTCGAAAGTATATCTCAGAAGCTTCCCCTGAACGCGACCGCTGCATTTCGGAGCAAAAGGCAGTGCAACCCTGGTCTCGAGCGTGCTCCCTGAGGTTGCCTGCGAGCTTGCTTCCTAACCGCAAGAGGGACTTTTCCGCTTTTACATGGTTTGAGGTGCACGTCCTGCAAAGCAACACCCGCAACCCTTGCCCCTACCCTGGACATACATCCACTCCAGAGCTGACAAGCGAACTGACCCCCGGAAATCGAACTGTACGCCGCAGCGCTGAGGAGGTGATATTACTATCGTGAACCTCCTCTTCTTCGCACCTCACCCTTTTCAACCCCGTTCGCTCCTTCGATTTTTGTCCCGGTTGCGGTTGGCCGAAGCGGTTGTTCGATGTTTGGTGGGAGTCCGTCCGTCACTGTGAAGTGATAATGATCATGGACTATTGCGCACTGAGCAGCAAACCAATCGAAGTTGATACTTTTCCCTCGCCAACAGCAGTCACCGACGTCCTACCGGTAGAAGACGAGATCGAAGAAATTGTGCGACAACATCCACCAATACTACCTTCCTCCTCCGCAAGGTTTCGAGCTCGTTCGCTGCGAGCGCCCGTCCAACGTCGAGTTCGAATGGGCAAAAGCGGGAAGACCTACCAGATGTTTGAAATTTCGACGATGGAGTCGAGAAGGAGTATGGATGGGTCCGACTCGTCATCGTCGGCTGTGACTGTGGTTACTTCTGCAACATCATCATGCACAGATCCATGGAGTTCATCGATCTCGAGCAGTGGTTGGGTTGAGGAAGAAGAGGACGAGCCCGACTTCGATTGGGATCATGAAGACGAGAGACAAAGAGACGACGATGGGGACATGTTGTTGGTACCGAAGCTTGAGCCGGTCGATGATATAGATATGGCAGATCTATCAGATGTGAAGGAGAGCATTATTCCTGAGACGCCTGAAACATCGTCGTCGATCTCAACACCGGCGCAGGTCAAGAGACCTCGCGGCCGCCCAAGGAAACATCCCAAGCCATCCCCAGAGGCATTGGCCAAGGTCGCGAAGGGGAGATCAAAGACTGGTTGTATCACTTGTCGGAGGCGGAAGAAGAAGTGCGACGAGACAAAACCTGGCTGTAAGTTTGTTTACTGGGCGTATCGTCAAGGTCAGCACTAATTATCACTAGGCCTCAATTGTGAGAAGAACTCTGTGATATGTGAAGGTTATCCGGAGAAGACGACATGGAAGAGCGGGAAGGAGAAGGGGGAAGAAGGTAGGGTCATAATGACATGCCAGCAGAGAGCGGATGAGCTGATCGAATCAACAGCCCTGAAACGCAGGGCCGCAAGCATCACAATCTCCAGCATACAATTGCCCTATCTGGTCCATGGAGTAGAGACAGAGGGTGACAGGATGTTCCTTCATCACTACATCTCTCGACTGAGCATGATTTTCACTCTGGAAGGCGAAAATGATAGTGCTTTCAGGAATATCTTACTTCCGATGGCTCAGCAGCATTCCGGTCTGATGCATTCGATATTGGCGCTGTCCAGCAAACATATCGACTACGACTCTCCATATGGACTTCAAATCTTACAAGAGCATCCAAACGTAGATGTCAAAATGCTTGAAGAACGGTCACAATTTCACCACGACGAGGCGTTCAAGGAATTGACGTGCAGGAAGAGTGAAGAAGTTGCCGTCACCCCCGCCACGTATGCTCAAATGATTTGTTTTGTTCTCCAAACTCTATCGGACAAGACCCCAAACGGATCACATCGGCTTCATCTCCAATACTACCAGAAGTTGATTAAGGAGAGCCCGCCAGCCGAGGAAACGGAGTTCACAAAATTCATCCACGAGTTCTTCCAATATCACATATGCGCTGATCAACTCATCCATCTACCTCAAGGCGATGTTCACTACGTCTCAATTCCAGATGATTGGAATCTCCCAACAACTGTCCTACAGCCCTCCGCTGTTCGTCTTCTCGGAGTCTTCGATGGACTCTTCCTTTACATGTCGAAGATAACCAATCTCAGGAACAAGATCCGTCACAACGTGGAGCATGGAATTGATCCCGTCGTCGACTACAGAGCTTTCTACGCAGCAGCTGAAATCGATGCTGGGATCAGGGAATGGACACCCGCGTGGCCCGCAGGCGACCCACGCGATGCAGCCGGTATGCTCTACAGGCAAATGATGTGGATCTATCTCTGGCGTACGATCAACCCACCGCAAGTCACCAACTGGAAGCCGGATCCCAAGAACAAGATCAAGCAAGCCGTCGATGACGGCCTTGAGCTTCTCTCCGGCTTTGGAGCTCGTGATCCAAGTCAGACCTTGATTCTAGCTCCTGCGTTCGTAATCGGCTGTGCAGCATTCGAGAAATACCAGCGCGAGCCGATCCGCAAGGCCATCGGTGTCGTAAAGAACTACATGGAGTACAAGAACACCGACACCGCACTGGAAGTTCTCGAAGAAGTGTGGAGGCTGATGGATGCGCACGATGAGCAGAGCTGGGACTGGCAATCCATCGCACACCGGATGGGGATGGACTTCCTAGCCACATGATACACGCTTTTGCTTACTTCGCTCTTCTTGTTAATGCTCGACGACGATGATACCCGGATTTCCACGGCTGCAGTGGACTTAATTTAGACGCTATCACGTGTACACGACGACCTCGACCTATTGACGACCGATCCACACTATATACGTTTACATGCCGCCGCTACGCCTTTGTATTCTCGACCTTCTTCATCCAGATCCTATATCACTTGTTCCTTTCCTGTCACGCATCTCTGGCGGGTTGGCGGCTTTCTTCCCGCGATGTTTTTGTGTTATGATACCAAGCTTAGCTTCTGGGGTGGCTCTCTTACCTTCCTTTTGGGTGGCTGGCCTACGGGTCTGATGTTCTACATTTCTCGGGCAAATCATATATCGTGGGCGCCTTAGTGTGCTGTTCTACCGGTTTATTTAAACCTTTTGTACTGGGCCTTAGCCTTGTTCCCTTTGCATCTACGGGATCTACCTACGGCGCTCATCAAAACGGTTGGTGGGTTGGGCTTGGGGACTGGGTTGGGTTGGGCGGCTCTCTCAGAGACTGCTTGTCTTGCTAGTTATGGTTTTGTACATGTGAGTTATGTTATGGAGTTGGAACTGGAATTACGGAAGACGGGCGCGAACGGCTTGTGTTTATGACGTGACGGGTTTGAATTGGCTTTTATCTGTATTTATGAATTGGATTGGATTGGATTTGGTATCGCTCGATGCGAGAGGTGAGAGACGGATGATAGGAGATGATGAAGAGAAGACAAGATACCACGATTGGAATCGAATTAGATGCATTCCTCTTTTGAGGAATAGCACTCTTCACCTCCAACCTCTCTCCAACATCAACTTGAATTTGATTTTCCCGTGAGATTTGAATACGCATACGAGATCAAATCAAATCATATCTCATCTCATCAGGATGCAGGTTACACTGCGCGAACCGAACCGAAACGGAAGAGCTGTGCCGCACTAATCCTTCTTCACCCCGCCCCACCGAGAAGGCTACCCTTTAAAAATAGAAAGGGAAACAAAGTACATCAATGCGTCGGGGGGAAATCTTCCCGCAGGCTGGCAGCCGAGAAAAGCTCTTCTTTCAAGCGAAAGCTCGAAACGAAACGGGCGAGGCGTCCGTAACATCGTGCCCCACTTCCCCTTCCTTCCCGACCTTCCATCTCCGTTTCATTGATTTCGCAAAGTGCAAAATCTCAGAGGGGAGAGGGAAGGGAAGGGAAGCGAAGGGAAGCGAAGCGAAGGGATCCGGTACGGTACGGTACGGCGCTCACCACCCTCTTCCCCGAACCGAGTCGGCACAGACACACATGAGCATGAGGCATGAGGCATGAGCATGAGCCGTTCTGCAGCTCCTTAAGTCGTGAGTTGTGTGTCGTTCCAGCGCTTCAATACCCACAGCGGCACGTCGCGTGTAACCAGCCCTTCCGTCCTCCAGCCAATGGAGCCTTTTACCGCGCGCGCCCTCCCTCCTTCGGCAGCATCCCGTGTTGTTGCCATGTTGGGAGACTAACTGAAGCGCAGCGCAGCGCAGCCACTTTCCCGCACCGCAACCGAGCCCGGCGAGGACACGCGATCGGCAAGGATCCACGCAGACTTGCGTCTCCCAGCCCCTTCAGCTGGCCCCAAACCTTACGGAGGAGGAGGGGCACCGACCCAGGCTCTCGGGCCGAACTAGTTCCTCGACCTCGCGAAAGGGGGCTCCATTCGGGCTGGGGGTTGGCGAGCCTGCCGGTGCGTGTGCGTGCGGCACGGGAGCGCCTCCGTCTGGTGCGGCTTCGCGGGCGGACGCCGGGCCCCCATGCGAGATGGGAGGGCGGGGGCCTGCGGCTGGGGTCTGGGGTCGAGTTAGTGGGAAAGCTGGGTTGTGTGCTTGAGAGGTGCTTTTTGGCTTGCAGGTGAGGTTTGGGGGAGGTGGAGACAATACTACTGGGATGGGGTGGAGTTTGACTGTGTGAGGTCGTGGGTGGTGTCCTTGTCTCGATAGAGTAGCACTTTCAGGCCCGCCTCCTCGACGTCGGAGTCTCGAAGGCACAGCCACGACAGCGTCGGCTGCGACGGACTGCTCCACAGAGTCCACTCCTCAATCACCTGATATGGCTAATGTCGAATCCATCCAGGGACGTTCGCTGATGTCACTGTTGTGGCTGGTGCCGTGAAGTGGGCTGGTGGGATGTGGAGAGACCCCTGATCTCCGATTAAGCTTAAACACGTCAACATGGTTATTTCTTGTTGCTTGTAAATGATTTTCGCGTTCGGCATTGGAGCTCCACTTTAAATTGAAGACAAAGCTCCCTGTACCCAGAGTCAAAGGTCTGTTATCCAAGCCTTCGAAAGCAGAAGTTCGACTTACCAAGACCCAACTTCAAGATGTTGACGCTCAAGGAGCCATCAATGGAGATGGATACAATCAAGTACATGAACGTCTCCTCCTACAACCCAAACCAACCAACCTACCACCCTCTCGCCTGCAATCTGCAAACATGTCCGCTCATCTACGCCTACCTAATGTACGACCCAACACTTGCAGGCAACGCACCCTTCCACTCCATTTTCTCATTGCTCCTCCCCTTCAGATCTTCCTCGGGCTCCACTACCGCACCTCCGGGATCCTCGCGGCAACCTTCCTCGGTCTATCAACAGAGATCACCGGCTACGTATGGTGGGTAGAAATACACTTCAATCCGTTCCTCACGTAGGATTTTCCTCACGTATTTTGATACCCCTGACAATTGGCCCCGTTTTCTTGGCTGCGGCGGTGTATCTGTGTTTGGCGAGGACTGTGGTGGTGTATAGGTAGCACTTGAGTTTGATGCGGCCAAGGAGCTATGCTTTGTTGTTTTGCTATTGTGATTTTTTTGCTTTAATATTGCAGGTCATTAGGGGGCGCAATGGCGGAGACGCGTCCACAGGTGGGTCAAACCCTTCTTCCCCTTTTCTTGCTTTCGTACTTTGAAGAGAGGGGAAGGAAGAAAGGAAATGATGTTGACCGAGGAATAGATAAACAAAGGAACACATCTCGGGCCCAGTGGTCAGTCTACTCCTCTTCGGGTTCATGTGCATAGAGTTTGCATGGAGAGTGCATAAACACCACGAGGAGCTGAACCAGAAGCACGACGAGCTCTACAACTCTTGACGGTTCAAGGTCTTCCTCTGCTGTAGGTCACTCTTCCCGCTTTCCCTTGGCTCTCGCTAAAGAAAACAGAACTGGCACTTGCAACGATAACAATCTTTGCCCGTCCCGTCTTCCGAGTCACTGAGCTCTCGGGTTGGTTCGGGGGCCACTTGGCGAATGACGAGGTCTCGTGCATGATTCTTGAGGGCGCAATGATCGTTATTGCTTCGCTTGCCCTCACAATTGTGCATCCGGGTATCGGCTTTGGGAGAGTGGCGTGGGCAGAAGACGATTGGCACTTTAGGAGCAGGAAAGGGGTTGTGGCGGAGAAGCATTCAGGAAAGGGTGAAGGTGAGGTACTTAATGGTGCTGAGGGATTGGATATAGAGGAAGAACGAGATATGGGAATTAGAAAACTTGGAGCATAGCATGTTGCATTTGGATTTGGAGTTCTTGATACCAAGGGCTCGGCATCGAGCGGTAATGAGAAATGATAACGTATTGTAGTTGGGAGCACCAAATTAGGCATAGCGCGATAGTTTCGCTTAGCCACGCTCTGTGCACATATATTCCAGAGCTTCCACGCCTCACTTGGGCCCTTTCCAGTGAGCTTTAATTAAGTCTTTAACTTCAATGCAACTCCCTGCTCTGCTTGATTTACGTGCATTATAACAACAATTCTGACAGTTGTGTTCATCCTGAAGCATGTGAATAAACGGGCTTCTATCAAGCGAAACTGAGAACCCGAAGCCCCTTTCCACGGCTGCCGTTCTGGGAGTCGGAGTGATCCCTCAACTTGAGAAGTGGGGCCTCGACAACCCCCTGAACGAACCACGCCAAGTGATGTTGTCCTCTCCGTCTGCCGTCGAACTCAGCCATCACTTGGTGTGGTCATACTTCGTCTGTCATTCTTCCCCGGTCACTAAATCCTTGGACTACAACAATTATGAAACGATGGGAAGGCTCTCGATGAGAGCGGAACTAAAGTAATTACATCCCGACGCTTACGTCACTAGACGACTCGGTGCCTGCCACTGTTCAAGGCAAGGCTTTAGTGAAGCCCAGAGAGGAAATATCTAGCGACTATTCTGTCGCAGAGACAAAGAAGGGACGGAAGAACCATTCCGAATTTCCCGCTTAGACTGATGAAACCACCTCCAACAAAACTAGGAGATGCTTCTACAAAGGGAACGAAGCAAGAACGAGGATACGAACATGACGGGAAAAATCTAGGCTCAACGTTCTGAAAGACGGCACGGACCCTTCATATGGAGTAATATCGAATTCTTTGTAAAAGGAGAAGATATTTTGGTAACGTTGGGGGGAGTGAGATTCGTGACGGTTACACAAAAGAGCAAATCAAGATGAATAGCGCGGGATGCAATTGTGGAAATGCCATGCGGCGAGGCAACTGATTGTCAAGATCCCAGCAAAGGTGAGATAAACGATGACGCAACTTGGAACATCAGGGGAGGAATCCGACAAAGATCCTTTTCTCGTCCTATCAAATGAAGAGAAATGGCAAGGCAACTTTAAGGAAGACGGTTGTCGTCCTGGACGTGCTCGGAACAAGTGCCGCAAGCTAAAGTTGCAAGGAACCGCTCTGTTAGGTTAGTCTGACACTGGCCCATAAACCTTTTTTGGACGTCGAATTTGTGGTGGTGGGTGATCAACGTACGCAGGGAGAGTGTCCCCGGATTACCACCGGATTGCTAGCGGACAATTTCTTGTATCAACATAATACAAAGTGACCAGAAAACGTCCCGGAGAATATCCGTTACCACGTTTTGCTCCCTGGCAGCTTACGGCCAACCCATGGCTGCCATGCTTCTGCGTGTAAATCTGACATTGACGTCATCATGTGATCTCCGGTTTTCCCTACCGAGCAATGTCTTCATCGGGATAGGAGCAGGTGCCGCATTTCCGCATCACACCTTGTGATGCAGTCATGTCACAAATATAACTGTGGTTCCAGCTATAGAGCTGATACGGATATGCCTGTCACTTGCACCCCCACGCGGAGTAGAAAAACTTCCCGACTGGCCACATTGACAGTGGAGACACAATCTTATTTCGAAGTCCGAACAAATGCCTGGCAAAGTATATTCCACAGAGGAGAGCAAAGCTCTTCTTGATTCGTTCCCTCCAAACCCAGTGCTTCGGACCAATCCTTGCTCTCCGCATCCGCCCCTTGCTTTGCAGTGACCTTCATTCTTGCAGATGCCGAATGCATGGGGTACGTAGAGTTACATTGCGCACTGCAAATGCGTGTCCGTGACCGGCTCCACATGTTATTCCGACGCATCGGCGGGCACATGCGCTGAAGAAAAGCGTTGAGATCTTGAGCCGACGCAATCCTTGCTGGATGCCTCCCAATCTGGAGGCTCGAAATAACCCTTAGCGGGTAGCTTGGTTTCGAATGCGTCGCACAAGGAAACGTGGAGTGTGGAGAGGGGAGTAATTTGGGAGATCTTTTTGAAGCCCGATGCTGCAAACTGCTTGGGCTCGGAGATGGACGGTGAGGCCGATGCAATGCGCTCTTGCGCGTGCAGGTGCATGATGCTGCTGCTGGGGGGACTTTGCAGGCGCGTTGCCGACTTCAAGAATTGGGAGAAGTTCAGGCCATTTTTCTGCCCCAGCCCGCAGACGTTGGGCTGCTGAATGGAGTGGGGGATGAATCGCATTCCTAAATCTGAATCCATTAATATCGTTGGATGAAGTGCCGGGAGGAGCAGCATGTTCTGAAATCACAAGTTCATCTGCATGCATCGTACCAGGCTTGAGCCCAGGCTGTCGGTTTTGGGCCGAGATTTGGTTTGTGGCATTGAAGAATATTGAATTTGGCAAGGGTGATGTAGAGCGACATGTGGGGATGGATTTTCGGGAGGTGGAGGTCATTGAACACGAGATGATTGGCTTTGGTGCCGAATTCTCTCCCTGAGATCTCCAAGCGAGGGCGAGAACGAGATTAGTTGAGGGCAGGAACGATGGATAGGACTTTTGGCCAGCGGTGACGGTGAGGAGAATTCGGCACTAAACAACCTTCCTCGCGATGCTGCGTGACGGCTCAATGGACGCTCTCGAGAATTCCTGTGTCAAAGGCCCCATGTTCGGTGCTCAGACACAGGTTGCGGCACACAATACGTTCGTATTCCGTCGAATGAAGGCGCGAGAGGAAGCGAATCTTCTTTGATCGTCTCCTATCCATTATGGGCAGGCGGCTGATAGAGTGTCTTCTAATCAACGCGAAACCAAAAGGGAGAACTTTGACGCGCAAGCGGTGGTCTTCTGCTCCGTGTTTCTCTGCCTCGAATTTGAAAAACGGAATGAAGATCGAAGTCCAAGAAGGCAATCAACGACCAGCCTAGAAAAGATTAGGAATAGATTGCAAATAGTACTGTTGTTTCTCTAGCGAATGCTCTGGAGTAGTCGAAAAGACTTTCCTCACGGCTCAATTTCAGATCTTGCTTGAATCATGAAATTGCATTTCCAATTGTTGACGACCAAGAATTCAACATGCTGGATGGATTGTATCTTGGGCGCTTCTTGTCCCTCATCCATGCAACTTGTTTCGCATAAGTTATCGACAGACGAAGCGGTGGTGCCACTGGCCCAGCCTTCCATTGACCTGTGATCGAGGACCCAAGTCCAGGGCTTCTCCAAGTGGCGAGAAACCTAACAGCCAAGAAACACACAATTTAGAGAAACAATAAAGGCATCATTCAATCATCGTACCAAAAGGGCCATCTAGGCTCGCCTGGAACTGTCTGTGCAGTTGATGATCAATGCGAAAGGAAAACCCTTGGAATGCTGAACTTTTTATTCCGTCGAAATTGCAATGATCCAGTGAAATGAAGCAGCTTGTCGACTGGTAAATGGTGCCCCATGTAGGCTTTAAGGCGGTGAAGATGAGTAGAGGGTGTGTTAAGCTTGAGCTCAGACTTTGGCTTTGCTATTACCTTGACGTGGTTTGCGTCCTTCTTTCAAGTGCGTGTAATCGAAATGAAGAACTCAACTTCGCCATCAGGAGAGGATTGTGGAAACGATCCTGCATTGCTTATCTTGATCATCTCTCCGGGGTTGACAACGGACTGTTGGCATCGAGTGAGAAACAAGATCTTACATCCACTTCCCTTCGAGTACTGTAGCCTAGGACAACCATCTGGACATGCTGCATTGAAGAGAAGGGATTGTTCATGTCTGTCATCCGAAATTACCTGCCACTGGCTGTGGCTCTTTGATGAATGTTCTACCGAAACTATTCAGTGCTCATGATGGCCGCCAGCGATGCCGGGAAAGTCTGAAACTGGATAAATGTTCCCTGGAGGATGACCCCGGGATCAGGAAATTGAGCAGGAATCTGCTGAAGGTTCTAGAGTCAGAAGACTCTCGAGCCACGCGGTCCGCAAACATGCTCGCGATGGTTTACCCGGAATTGTGAGGATATGAACCACCGAATGGAATGAAAAACGTGAGCCTGCTTCTCCCTAACCTAAAACCCCTGTCCTGGTGAAGCTATTCACATGCTTGGCAGCGCAGAAACGTGAGGCTGGAGATTGCACTCTGGAAAATAACTCGGCATTGGCAAAAGGCACTTGCTGGATGTGACTGAACTGTTGGTAAGTTGACTCCCAGAGACTGAAGCATATGGTAACCCCTACAGTGCAACTTTCAGCTTCGGAATACCACGGGTCAGACCGTCCGAAGGAGCCAGATGCTGAACATAATAACAGCCAGATGCCTTCGGGCTATTGGCAGGGGAGTTTCCAGGGCCGGTACGAATTATATCTTCGTTGCGCTCCTCCCACCATCCCAGGTGCCGCGAGGCCACATGAACACAACACCAACAAAAGTTGCCCGTGATCCCAGTTGTTTCCCTTCACGATTTCTTGCTGTCCTCCAATGGTGGTCTACCGACCCAGCAAGGGTAGCTGTCGGTTCGGTGGGCATCCGCGCCACTACATCGCATGCCTGCAGCCTCGCAGGATCTGGACTTCAACCCCGGTTGCGGACATTGACAGCTCGGCAGGAAGTTACTTTGGTTTGCACATGGCGGCCAAGGATGGTGACGGACCAGTGACGGTGGCGCTGTGGAGAAGTCGAGATGGCATGTTACGTTTCAGGTTCCTTTTGTTCATTTCAACGGTCCCAGGGCTGGCCAGCGCAAGATTGGACGAAGGAGCTGGATGCTGGTTAGCTGGGCTTTGACTGAGAAGAGGCAGAGCAGAACCCACGACGCTGCAGCATACTTTGCGCATATTGCAATTTGCGCTTCGCACCCCCCAGTTGTTAGTGAAAGTCGAGAACAGATGCAGCAGTTGCATGCTGTGCCGTTGAAGTGCTGTGAAGGGCTGTGCTCTGCTGTGCTGTGCTGTGCTGTGCTGCCGAAGGAAAGCTGTGGTTGGTGTTGTACAGGAACCGAGCTTCACTCAAGCGAAGTGCCTTTGTGCCCCTCTTCATGACCTCCAATTCGGTCCTTCGGCTCGCTTCTCAGCGACATCCCTCCTCTTCTCTCTATTGCTTGGATGGAAGCTCGCCTCGCAGGCGAACCTCGGCGATATGCCCTATTGTAGATGTTCGACCTTCGATCTTTCGAGTCTCTATTTTGGGTGGTGATCTCCCCAGCCGCAGCGGGGTTGACATCGCTTGGGAAAAAAAGCTTCGGTGAAGCTACTCTAGGTAGGAAATCAGCCAGCCTGAACACGACCTTCCCTATTCAGACGTCATGTACAATTTCTTTCCTTCTGTTTCTTCATTGAATCTTCCCTTCGTATTTCGAAGTCTCAGGTTCTATCTCTTCTGCTTCGCCCTCACAGCATTCCAATCGTGTTATCAAGTGGGGCTCACCTCAGCTACTCTTGTGCGCCACAAGCGTCCCCAAGACATAGACATTTCCAGTGATGGAAATACGATTCTCATAGACCTTCGGACGAAATGGAGGACGACATAGAGCTTGGTCTGCCAGCGGCAGACAAGGCGGATGATATTGGGCCCTACCCGCTGCAAGTCGATTCGAAAGCGCCAGCTTCGAAAACCGCAACGGCGCAAGACCATGAACCTCACAATCAGCTGCAAACCCTCTCGAGCACGCATACGAACCTTATCTCCCTTTCAGATGTCGATTCTGTCGATGTCCAAGTACGGGGCCTCGCTGTTAAAGTGGACATTTCTCCGTCCGCCTTCTCGCTCTCCCATTTCCTTCCTCGAAAACGAAGCCAAGATGGCACGCCCTCCTCGAGTGCAAAGCAGATCCTGCACTCAGTTTCTGCGTCGATGCCGGCCGGCACGCTCACCGCGATCATTGGAGGAAGTGGATCTGGCAAGACGACGATGCTCAGTACAATGGCGGAGCGCATGACAAGTGGGCGGTTGAGTTTCGCGGGAACAACCACGTTCAACGGCATGAAAGGCGTGAATAGTGTGAGGAGTGCATATGTGATGCAGCAGGATGTTCTGATACCGACATTGACCGTTCGAGAGACACTGCGATACTCTGCTGACTTGCGCCTTCCACCACCTACAACAGAGCAGGAGAGGCGGAAGGTTGTGGAGGAGGTCATATTGGAATTGGGATTAAAGGAATGTGCAGACACAAGAATTGGCAACCACCAGCATAAGGGATGTTCGGGAGGTGAAAAGAGGAGAACCAGTATTGGAGTACAACTTCTGAGTAACCCGAGTGTTCTGTTTTTGGACGAGCCAACCACAGGCCTGGATGCTACCAGTGCATTTCAATTGGTGAGAACGCTGAAGGATCTGGCAAAGAAGGGGAGAACGATCATTACGACCATCCATCAACCGAGATCTGAAATATGGGGAATGCTTGATGGGCTCGTGATTCTAGCAAGAGGAAGTCCAGTCTATTCCGGGAAGGCGGACGACAGTATCCCATGGTTCAAGAACGCTGGGATGGAATTACCACCATTCGTCAATCCGGCTGAGTTCCTAATCGATATTGCTGCAATTGACAATCGTTCTCCTGATCTTGAAGCCACCACTTCAGAGCGGGTAGAAAGACTCAAATTGGCTTGGGTGGATGAAAATGAGAGGTTATATGGTACACCAGATGAAAAGAACTTCTCGACATCGGAACTTGCAGCTATCCCCGTACCCTTGAGAGCACCAGTCCATTCTCCATTCATCCGGCAGACGCGTGTCTTGACTTCTCGAGCTTTTGTAACTACATATCGAGATCCAATGGGTATGGCTGGGTCATTGGCAGAAGCCGTGTTGATGGGCATTCTGACCGGATGGGTTTTCTTCGGTTTGTCAAAGGACGAATCGGGAATTCGAAGTCGACAAGGTGCTTTATACAATGCTGCCGGCCTGCAAGGATATCTCATTCTGATGTTTGAGACCTATCGCCTTACGATTGATGTTCAGGTGTTTGATCGGGAGCATAATGAGAACGTTGTGGATGTGCTCCCGTTCCTGCTAAGCAGACGAATTTCGCGGTTTATTATGGAAGATTTCCCTGTTCCACTGGCTTACTCGACAATATTCTACTGGATGGCAGGATTCAGGGCCGAGGCATCAACATTCCTGATCTTCTTCTCTATCATTTTTCTAAATCAGTATATTGCCGTCACATTTGCTTCAGTCTGCGTAGCTGCTGATAGAAGCTTTGCCGTGGCTTCCTTGATCGGCAATATGGGTTATACAATCCAAAGCTTTGCATGTGGATTCTTCATCCAGGCCAACACCATGCCGGTCTATGTAAGGTGGCTAAAATGGACAGCTTATTGTTTCTACGCCTTTGGGGCTCTCTGCGCCAACGAATTCAGAGGCCAATTCTATAACTGTCCGCTGCCCGGCGGGGAGTCAAATCCAGCTTGTGCACCTTACACGAGTGCCTTCATCATGAACGCGCTGGGGTTTCCATCAAACTGGATCGCTAGGCCGATCATCATCCTAGTTGGGTTCGTGGTGATGTTTGCCTTTCTTTCCTGGGTTGGATTCAGATTCATCCCAGTAGAAATGAGCATTGCCAAAGCAAGGGAATCGAACACTGATCTCTCTGCTGGGAAAGAGAAAATGACTTTCAGATCTGCGACCGAAGTGAGAACGGTGGATATTGGACTTGATAAATTTGCACTTGATCTGGACAAGAGGACAATGCGGGGAAAGAAGCTACCAACGAAGACCATTTTGCATCCTGTCACGGCGACATTTCAAGCTGGACTCCTCAACGTTATCATGGGACCATCTGGGAGCGGCAAGACGTCACTTCTCAATGCAATGGCTCTCCGCTTGCACAACAGTGCTGGGACTCGATATCGACAATTCGGAGATATGACATTCAATGGAGCTGTCCCTTCGGACTCCGTTGTACGATCAGTATGCTCTTACGTCTGTCAAGACGATGATGCACTTCTACCGTCCCTCACAGTTCGTGAGACGTTACGGTTTTCCGCAGGCCTGCGACTGCCTTCCTTTATGACCGAGGATCAAAAGTACCAACGCGCAGAGGAGGTGCTCATGAAATTGGGTCTCAAGGATTGTGCAGACAATTTGATTGGGTCTAATGAGATCAAGGGGATATCTGGAGGAGAGAAGAGACGAGTTTCGATTGCTGTTCAGATCCTGACAGATCCAAGAGTACTTCTGCTGGATGAACCCACATCTGGCCTGGACGCTTTCACAGCATCATCTATCATGGAAGTCCTTCAAGGTCTCGCCCACGAAGGACGCACTCTGATCCTCACCATCCATCAGTCGCGCTCTGATCTCTTCAAGCAATTCGGAAACGTCCTCCTTCTCGCCCGAGGAGGCTCCCCAGTATACGCTGGGAATGCCGCAGGTTTACTTCCCCATTTCGACGCCCTCGGTTTCCCCTGCCCAACAACCACCAACCCCGCCGACTTTGCCCTCGACCTCATAACCATCGACCTCCAACATTCGACCCGCGAAGAAGCCACGCGCGCAAAAGTCAGAAGCCTCATCGCCTCCTGGTCCAGCGGCGACTTCGCCGCAGCCTTGAACCCAACCCGGATCTCCACGCCCGCAGAACTTGGCGCCCTCATCCGCAAACCCACCTCCTTCTTCTCCGCCTACCCCATCCTCGTGCACCGCGGCTTCATTAACTTCCGCCGTCAGCCACCCCTCCTGTTGGCGCGCATCATGCAAGTCATTGGCCTAGCCATCATCTTGACCCTCTTCTTCGCCCCGCTGAAAAATGACTATGAGTCTGTGCAAACGCGAATAGGCTTCATACAGGAATTCTGTGCCTTCAATTTCGTTGGCATGCTGCAGAACGTTGCTGTTTATCCCATGGAAAAAGATGTTTTCTATCGAGAACATGACGATGGGACATATGGAGTCGAAGCGTTCCTAGCACAGTATATCACGCTCGAGGTACCGTTTGAGATCGGAACCAGTCTTGTGTTTGCCGTTTTGACAGATCTTGCGGCTGGCTTGCCGAGGACGCCGCAGATGTTCTTTGTGTGCTTTTTCAATTGCTTCTGTATTGTTAATTCGGGTGAGAGTTTGGGGATTATGGTTTGTCTCCCTTTCTTTCCTTTTCCTCCGTAGCCTCCCGTCCCCACCCCCTCTAATCCAAATCGTTTGAGGGGAATACCAGGCTGATGACAGAAAGTTCAACACCCTCTTCTCCCACACCGGCTTCGCTGTCAACCTAACGTCCGTCTTCCTCTCCGTGGCGCAGTTCATGTCCGGCGTGATGTCAATCAACATGCCCTCCTTCCTTAAAGGCGTGAACTACTTGTCTCCCCTCCGCTACGCTGTCAGAAATCTCGCTCCTTATTCGCTCTCACATATCTTATTTACCTGCTCTCAGCAACAGAGATTACCGGATGGCAAATGTCCGATCGAGAACGGGAAGGAGGTTTTAGGGCTGTATCGGCTGGATACGGATCCGAGGTTGAATTTGGCTATGTTAGGTGTTGTTACGGTGTGTTATAGGCTGCTGGCTTGGGGCTTGTTGAGGGTGGTCAGGGGGCATTGGAAATGGGGTGACACGGGGAAGTGGAGGGAGAGGATGGGTTGTCGGGAGGGGAATTCAGTCGCTGGACATACTAGTACTGGGGTGGAGAACTGATTTATGAGAAAATGATGGCATTTGGTATGCGGCATCTTTGTTATACCCATTCGATTCACTCGTTAGAGATGTCTTTATGCATCTTTGCCATTTAGACGACATGCTCTGGGAAAGATAGTACACCAACAGGATAAAATACGGTTTGTTTCCCCAGCCCCTTTCTTCTGTTTTCCTTCTCCACCCCCTCCTCGATCCTCCTTCTCTTCTTTCTTGTCCATTGTGGTGCAGGAAACGAGGGGAGGAGAGAATCCGATATGGTTGCCAGATACTTGTTAGCTGGAGTTTGAGACCGAAGAGCAGTATCTCCCACGGCCATCAAGAACATGCCAGGGACTGCAACTTCGAGCGGAAATAAGTGCGACTGGAAAGCCATCCTGTTGCTACCAATCACCGAGATCTGCCAGTGAAGCTCCCACTTTCACTCCCCACAACGCCAATCCCAGAGCCCCGTGAAGTCAACGGAAAGCCACCCTCATCATAACAGCAAGGGTATCTTTGCGTTCGATTCTCGACACGTTCCCGTTCGCAAGGTTGACGGCACTTCGTACACGTCCACCCATTCTCAGAGTTGACGACTCTCTCAAGACACCCCTTGCACCTCCACCACTCCTCGTCCACTTGCCTTGACGTGAGCCAGGCAACTCGTTTCGATTCGTTACCGAATCGGCGGTTTCGAGGGATGTCTTCTAAGTGATAGTCCCTGAGGTGGTCTCGTAGGTGATCAATCTTGTAGAAGGACTGGCTTTTCCTGGGGCATGAAGCCCAATCGCAGATATAGCTTTCTTGGCCAAGATTGCCACCTTCGACAGGGACTGTTTGCGAACTTCGTGGATGCTCCGAGGGCTCGTTGGCTGCTACCGTCGGTGTCTGATCTTCTGTGTTGTCCCCTGAACTCTGGGGGCTGGAGTCATCTGCGAGCTGACCTGGTCCAGGAGGCTCGTTTGCAACCAACTTGGTGCATGCTAATGCTTTCTTTGTGGTTGTTGCGGATGATTTGAGGGAGGGCTTCCTCTGCCTAGGATCCTTGATGAATGATTCTATCAGCGCCGACTCGAGCATTGCCAACGAAGGCTTCTCAACGTATCCGATGTTCCTCACAGGCAGAAAGTGTTCAATGGAATATGGCTTCGAAGCAAGGACGATCGACTTTTCGGCTGCAAACGTGACATCAAGGTCTTCAACCTTGATTGATATCACGTTTGGTTCCAACTGTGATACGTCCGCACCAACGTCCGCAGAGCGTACGTGGAAGAGGTGTGCTGGACGAGCATGGTATTTCTCTTCCCCTCTTCCCCCGAAAGTGTGTATTCGAAGAGCAACGCAGAATCCCTTTTGATTTCGCACGGATATAAATCGACTTGGCTTCGCATACGCGTATTGATCGTAGTCGACCTTCGTAACGTGTTTGTCGCCAACTTGCATGGACGGTCCTCTTGCTTCGATCCAAACTGTTGAGAAGCACCTGCCAGGTTTGAAGAATTTGTGCGGCCTCTGGACTCTCTGATATGCTGGTAGAAAAGTAGAATTAGTATTCGAGCTGCTCATGAGTTTCAGTCTTGATCAAAGGATGACTTGGTAGAAGAGCGGGAAAATCTTCTTGCCTGGATGGAGTGAGCTCCCTTCCTCGAGCGAACCTTCTAAGAACTCATGATCCATTCTAGCCTTCTCGAAGCAATGGAGCAACTGAACAATACGAAATGCTATCTGACAGCTAGCCTCGCTGGTGGGTCCGCATTCGACGTCTCTGGGCGCTGGGAAATGACAACCAGCTGTGGGTTGAACCTACGCTAAATCTTGCAAACGGAGAGGTTCTTGGGTTGCTGCGTAGCTATTGGGAGCAGTGAAACTTCGTTGAATCTTTTGGACCCTGGCGAGAAGGAGGTTTATCTTAAATTGGTCGTGGCGAGGAAGTCAAGTAAGGTTTAGTGAAACTATTTGAAGTGCGGCCATAGTATAAGCCCCATGCAAGCACGCTCAAGAGGGAGAGTGTGCTCTAATATCAACACTAAAGGCACTGTCTCGCCAATAAGGACACAAGCACAAATTTTCGATTACTTCTCCTCTTTCTCTAGTCATAACACTCTTCCATCTAGCGCTTCCTCTCTCGGGTACTAATTATCATTGCAGAACCTACCAACACTGCAAAGCAAAAAAGCCCCTGTCCTTATTGTGATGAATTTCTGCAAGACCAATGTACTTTCCCCAACCACCACACTCCGAAGCCTTATATAATGAGCTCCTATTAGTTAACGGGAGGGAACAATGCCCGCATATTGAGCTCGGTTGTTTGCAGTGCCAAAATTTGACAAGTATCGCAGTTTCGTTTTTCTAGTTCTTCAAAGCCATAGGACATGGAAATTTCAAGCCACCGAATGTAGTAGGTTAGGGTAATACATCAAAAATCGATGGTTTGCTATTTGGGTCAAGTGGATGCAGGTATATGCAAGGCAGGCAACAACGAAATGTCTCCGCACAGGTCGAATCGACAGCTCGAACTGTCTGCGATAAGAGCATAATTCTGCTGCTCCCACATTATTGCTTATTAAATTTAGGGGGAAAAGTGAAATAACTTCCCTTACTCCAGGTATTAATTTAAGGGTATTAATTTAAGGGTATTATTTAGGGGTATTATTTAGGGGTATTATTTAGGGGTATTATTTAGGGGTATTATTTAGGGGTATTAATTTAGGGGTATTAATTAAGGTATTAATTTAAGGACATTAATTTAGAGATATTAATTAGGGATATATATTAAATTACTTAAAGTTCTTTTTATAAAAAGAAAAAGGCTAAATATAAAATTATATAATTAACTAAATATTAGCTTAATTTCTATTATAATATATTATATTTCTCTTTTATTACTTCTTTTTATAAGTATTTATTATTTAAAAAAATTATTTATTAATTTTCTTTTTCTTTATATATAAATATAAAAGTCAAGTCTTAAATTTTTTATAAATTTATAGCTTAAAATTTAGTAATAAGTAATTTATAATTATAAGGCTTTCTTTTTCTTATAATTTTAAAGTTTTAAAGTTATAATATATATATAATAAAGTATAAATAAGCTAGATTTAGTAACTTAATTAAAGTAATACTTATATAAGATTACATTTCTCAATTAGGGCTAGTACTTATATATATATATATAGTAAAATACTAGAAAAGATATAAAAAGATATATAAAGCTTTAAAAATAAGTATTAATTAATTTTTTTTATAAAAGCTAGTTCTAGAAATTAGTTATATTTACAAGTATTACTTTATACTTTACTTTATCTTACTTTAGTTACTTATATAATACCTTATTATTATATATTTTATATTCTTTACTTTTCACTTTTACTTGCTTATTCTCTTAACTTACCTCCTTTCTTAATCCCTTATATCCTCTCTCTCTTACTCCTATATTTATATATATAAAGATAAGAATTAAAGAGAGAGAGTAAATATTTCAAGTAATAGTAAAGGCTTGGGGAGGGGGGTTGCTGTGTGAGTGCGGGCAAGTTTTAGTGGGGTGAATCGTGCCTCACCGCTTCAGTATATCAGTGGTATTGCAGACAGTTCGAACTGTCGATTCGGCCTGTCCAGAGACAGTTCAGGCAACCAAGCCTCAAATGCAAATGTAGAAACCTTTGGGTGCTAGGAAATAGTTGTTGCCATTATATATAAAAGGAGGAAAAATGGCCAAATATTTATTGAAAGACATGCTCTTAAGTAACAATGCCGGTATTGAGATTTAGAGGAAATGCAATTATATGTATATTGTTTCTCCACGTATTGTCTCAGTGGAAAGCACGGAAGTCTCGCCCAGTGTTTATCAGATTTGTATGTGAATACTTTACTTTTAAAGAAATGTTGTGTGCTTGGATTAGAACTATAAAGCAAACCTGACCTGTCTTTTTTCGGCCTGCGAAGCAAGGGCTGCAAGGCTGATTGGCAACTGTAACCTGCCCCAACACGTGACACAGCTTTAGCTGCAAGATCCCACGTCAGACATGGATGAGGTTACACTAACAAATGCGGACCAGAAGGGCCACCCGAAAAAAAGCAAACTTGGGGTTCCTCGCTAAATTTGTAGCACAGACCAACACCAAACACAGACCAGCCAGTTCTAGCAGAAGTACGCAGGTGCAGGCCCTAATATTTGTTACACCGCCTTGAGTTCTGCTAAGCAAAAGTCTGCTACAGCGCATTGCTACAGGGCATTTCAGCGCAACCCCTGCAAAGGCGGTGTAACAAATATTAAGGCCTGCACCTGCGTACAGAATTTATCATGTGAAACACTTAGCACAGTCGCTAGCATGGCCAGTCGCTTTCACGAACCACCAGTGGTAACTTGTAGAAGGTACGGAAGTACGAACGGGTAGTGAGTTCGGCAATATAGCCTGAATAATACAGTCGATCCGATCCAAAAGTGACAAAAAAAAAGGTCTACCAAAATACTAATTGATATAAATTATATTAATCGGAACTATCGTATATCTTGTAGTAATTAATTCCCTGGTCTCCGATTCTTAATACCTTTAATATTACAGGAGTTGCAGAGCACGTGACCATTTTATACGAGCTCGCATAGAAATTTTTGCGTTTTATCCCTTCCTCCGGTGAGACATTGCCACATTAGCGGCCGTACATGAATATCCCTATTTCGGCCAGAACATAATCCGAATTGGCGATATTCATGTACGGCCGCTAATGTGGCAATGTCTCACCGGACGAAGGGATAAGAGTAAAAAATCACACCTTGTATAGTATACGAGGTTATACGTGATTAAAATCATAAACTTTTTATACTTTACATTCTCTTTAGTAGTAAGTCTTAAAATTTAAGCTCTTACTAGATATTCTAAGCTTATAGAAGCTTAAGGAGCCTTATAAGACCTTATAAGTCTAAGTTTAATTTACTATTTACTTAGGTATACGTGACTTTTATTGAATATTTTTGCGTTTTGTATGGTCAGAAATTTAAAAAAGTAAGAAACGTCCGTGCATTTCAAAACTCGATTACTAATAAACCACAAATCGCATTAGAAATCTGATTAATAGGTTTTATTCGCTTGTTTCTTTTCTATAATTGCATTACTTAGTATTAATTACTCGGGGTTGTGGTTAAAAAATTATTATGGACACAAAAGGGCGACCGTTTTGTCGCTTTTGGATCGGACCGACTATACCTCTTCACGTGTCTCTTCTCTCATGCATGCTCTTCAAGCATGCCATGCATCACGGATCCCTTGCTGACCGCCTCCATTTCTTCGCTTGCGACTGGTCTTCCACATTGCGTGCCGGGAGGATCCGACTGCATATGATTGGCTGTCCACTTCCTCTTACTTGGTACCCCCTCTGACCCATCTTCGCATTAAGAGTTTTCAGCTCCAAGATCTTTTTTCCATTCAGTGTCCTGAACTCATTCGCGGGCAGCGCTTCTGTGGGGCTTGGTACTCAATGACCCAATTTGATCATCTCCCAGGAGTCCTGGCGGGCCCCTGCAGGACCCCCGGCACACGACAGCTAGGAAGACTCATCCATAAAGTTGTTGTTGGGTAGCAAAGCGCGAAAAAGTAGAATCATCCAACGACTCAAACCTGATTTTGAGAACTTGGTGGGGGTGGAAGCATTGGATACCAGCGTGTTACTGGATTCCGCAAGAGGCTGGCTTCATCTTACGGATGGGTGGCTGCATATACGGAAACGTCTGATACCGTAATACTAAATCTTTATGAAACATTTAAACTTGCCACGTAGCCCAGCAGTTAGCGGAGACTTCGGGCTGTCTAAAAGACTTTTTGCCTCTTCCAATTCTCATCAACCATTACACCTTGGCCTTCTCACCTCTGCTCTTCAGTACAAGGAATGAAGCCACAGATTCATAGATGTCTCGGTTCTCCGCCAATGGCCATTTTAAACAAGGTTGAGACGCCATCGAAGTCTGAAATGTTGTTGGTTGACCACCTGATCGCAATGGTTGGTGAGTCTTCACCTCTTCCACCCCCAACCTCCCTCCGGGCAAACATCTGACAACCGCTAAGGTCCACTTGTCTTTCCAAGCATATTGTTGCCTCCCCGGTGGGAGTTCCACTTGGGCCCCAAGAATGGATTATCTTCATCGAGGGTCTTCTGTCAGAGAGATTTCAATGTGCCGCCCATCGCAACTTGGGATTCTCCGTTTCCAGGAGATCATGATCGTACATTTGTCCACCCCTTGGTAGACCGAATTGATATCGACACTCTGCGTCACCAACACAACATCATTATGAACGTATTGGCTCCATCAATGATTCCAATTATGCGCTTTCAAATCTGGGGATTTTTGGTAAGCCAACTTTCCAGATCAATCAACGCGGCAAAACAAAGTCACCAACTTTGATGAATGCTGATACAAATCTGTTTGCAGACTCCGAAGACATTTCCCATGATTCGATTCCTCGACTGGATTTATATTGGGCCCATCACGGACAAAAACAATGCGAATAAGGAGAAACTTGTCGAGGAGTTGGTGGAGAATTTAGACGACCAGCCATATGCAATGATGAATGGGAACCAAGTACACATGCGACCATCGAGCGTTCTGCTAGGTGTGTTGCTTTCACAGGACGTGTGCCTTGGGATCCATTTGAGCGTTGGTGGATACATGTTAATGTGTGAGGGTGGAGCTCAGACCAGTGGTGGGGGTGAAGGAGAATCAACTTCAGGGGGCGGCAATGGAGGTGGGAGTAAGAAATGATGAGTGGTTGGAACTAGAGCACCATTATTTCTCGGGGAGTTGTGTGATTGATGAGCATCAGTCGTGGGAGTGAACGAGAGCGACCCCGGTAGGGGTAGATTCCAGAAGTTGGCCGTGGGCTTGGAATTGGAGGCTAGTCTTTGTCAGGGCCTTGTAAGATGAATTCACATCTTTCTAGAAATTACCTGTTTTCATGAAGCTCTGCTCTTCAGCGACCCAAGCGGCTTTGAAGTGGATACTTTGTCGAGGACTAGAGATAGGTCGTGAACTACTCTTTCTTTCTCTGATTCAGTAGAACTAGTGCCTGCGAATCGTACCGTGCCGAATGCATTTGAAGGTCAAGGTCTCTGTAATAAGCCGAGATGTAGTAGATTCACCTCTCTTGAGTGACCCCAACGACCATTTGTCCACCAGGAAGTCCCGACACTAGTCAGACACCTCCTGTGCGACAAAGTAGTTCTCAGGGTGAGCTGGTGCAGTAATTCCGCTGGTTGTCAGATCTGTTGAGCAGATCATCCGTCCAAACGGGAGGATCAATGGAAAATGTACCGACTGCTTCACTCGCCCATTGCCTTTACGGATGAACATGTCAGGAAAATCTCGGGCTCGATCGATGTGGTAGAGTCAAATTCCACATTTCCGGGGACGGCAGGAAACATCTCCTCCGAGAGCTTGCTATTTGTCTCATTTAGGTCGTGGGGGCTCTCGTCCAAGGATATGATCGTATTTACTTCATCCAAATTTTCCTCTTTTACGATGACTTTCGAAGCGCCTGGAGGAGTCAGGATAAATGATGCTTGAGTTTCCTTCTCTGTCGTTGCCATATCTTCCTTGATCGCGTCGAGTATATCGTCCAGAAGCTCTTCGCTGGCTTTCGTATCAGTATGCTCAGCCCCGAGGACCCTTTTTCTGCTCAGGAAAGACTCTCTGGCAAGTCTCTCTGCTTCCTCATTCTTGCCCAATCTGAGAAGAATGAAAGCCAGGTTGTGGGCCATCAGGAGCGATTGAAGGTGTTGAGGGCCAAGAGCCTCAATGATGAGTGCCAAATGATCTCGTGCCAACTTCTCCGTTCTTGCGAACTGACCCTCATCTGCAAGGGTACTAATCAAACCAATCTTTGCGTTCAAAGTGAGTGGATGTCGCTTGCCCAACTGGTGTTCTCTACTCCTCAATACCTCTCTCTGAAGCTTTTCGGCTTCAGAAAACTTCCCTTGTTTCTGTAGACAGATGGCGAGAGCTGAACTACTCAACAACGTGGCCAGATTTTCTCGCCCATAGATCCTCCTCTTGACAGACACTGCTTTTCTGGCATACATTTCGGCCTCGTGATATCTTTCTTGTGTTCCTAGTACCAGAGAGAGGTTGTTCAAGCTGGCGAGAGTATGAGGATCGTCTTCTCCCAATTTCTTCTGCCTTCCCTCCAAAGCACGCCGATGCAAATGCTCGGCCTCGGCGTATTGTCCTTGACCCTGCAATGATAGACCCAAATTATTCAGGCTTGAAAGAGTGTCTTTGTGCTCTCCCAAAAGTCTCTGTTGATTCTCTAAGACAGCTCTTTGCAGGCGGATCGCCGCAGCAAACTTCCCGTTCCTGTAAAGAACAGTGCCGTGATCCTCTTGTTTCGTCAAATGATCAGGGTTGTCAATTCCAAAAACCACTCCACTCAAGTCTGCGGAAAGCCTTGAGAACCACTCGGCATGGCTATAGCGGCCTGTAATTTGAAGATATTGGGAGCATCGGTGAGCAAGCAAACATCGAGGTAGGTCGAGCTCTGGTGGAAAATCTTTGTATTCCAAGACTGCGTGTGCATGCGGGAGAAATTGAGCACATGAAGATAAATTACCGGATTCAAGTGATGGAGCAGTTGGGAAACATTCGAGCACTGCTTTCATGGCCTTCTGAATCCAATGATGGAATTGACTCCTTGATCTCAGCCACCTCCTCGCTGCTAGGTGTACTACAGCATGCATATAGAAAGTTTGATTGTCACTATCTGCAGTAATCAAGCAATGTGATCGGAGTAGACCCAAGGCCGTTAAGAAACTGACGCTTATCCCACTGTGATCGACCGCGCTTGGGAGGAGCGACTTGGGGATCTTTCGGGGGCTGACACATGCAATGAACGACAAAAGATCTCCTGCCAGAGTATCGACTTTCAAAAGACAGTCCAGAGATATTGAGAGGGTGAGAAGTACTGGCTTCGCTCTGGCTGGTCCTTGGGGAAAACTTTCATCATCGAGAAGAAGTGCCTTTGCGTCCTCGCCTGCGTTGAGCATCTCGAAATATTCTGAAACCGCAATTTGTTGACCAGATATGAATGCTCCAGCGTGACATATAGCTAACGGCAAGTGATTCAATGACTGGAGAAGTCCCGATACGGAGGTTTTTTCTGTCTCGCAAAGTTCAGAATGTGTGAGGCCCGCTTCCTGACAGAAGAGATCTCGAGCGTCGTTGGAATCGGGGTCGTCCACCCGAATAATGTTGTCGGCAGGTACGAGGCTCGCAGCAACTCTTCTACTCCTTGTTGTGAAGATGACCGAGCCTTTGGTATTTGTAGGGATCAAGTCTACCAGTGGCTCCTCTCTGTCCATGATTGCATCGTCGTCCACATTGTCTACAATCATTATCCAGTCGCCAAAACGGCTGTCGTGTAAGCACCTCGATACATCCTGAGTCGATACGGGCGAGTCTTCGGTTCCGTTAAGGTTCAAATAAGAAGCCATCCCTAGGTAATCTTGCAGAAATTGAAGTTTTGTGTCCGCCTGAATCCAAAATACCCAAGTCTCCGGAAATGCTCTATTCGTTTCCGTGGCGTATTGGAAGGCCAGGCTCGATTTTCTAAAGACCTGATGTATTAGTCGGAGGGTACGAATTACAAGACAGAAGAATGGGAGTACATGCCCGATCCCTCCGAGACCATATAAGGCTACACGGTTTTGTGTACCAAGCGCCTCGAGCTTGAACGACAATTTTGTTAAAAGCTCATCACGTCCAACAAAAGAACGGCTTTTATTCCGTTCCATGTTGTAAACGCGACTGAAGGTCATCGAGACGGGGGGCTGAGTCGGGTTACGAACATTGATGACCTCCGTGGTGTCAGGAAGTATTACTGTGATGCCTGATGCCTGATGGATAGGGATACGTGCAGTACGAGTGTCATGAATTGCTGGTGCATGTGAAATAAGGCGCTTGGAAATATCACCAACCGCCAAACAGTTTTCCCATTCCAGGGCCAGACACAACCCTCTCATTTTTTCTTCAATCCTCTTCCAAGCCAGACCAATATCTCTCTCCTTAGCCTTGAATTTCATTGTCATCCGGAGTTTGTCCACCAATCCCTTCCTTGATCCAGCGTTGATTTCTGCAAGCTTGCTGTGAACAATGTTCAGATCTTCCAGACAACTCTTTACATGTTGCTCGACAGACGGCGGGCTGTCGTTTTGGATTCTTTGAGCGAGATCAAGAAGTAGATTGGCATGTGAAAGCTGCCTGGCTATGGTGCCCAACTCGTCTCGGAGTTCTGAGCTCAAAGTCCCAACCAAAGATATGATCTTGGATGTCTGTTCAAAAAGCTGGGCTCCCGTCGCGACCAGGCCAATAACTTCAGCCATACCGAGAGTTCGAGGGCGAAAATATTGATCGAATGTGGAGGAGGCGAGCAGAGAGAAATGGTTTTGACGTGAGGCATCAAGCCATCGATGCTCATCAAAGTCGGGAGGCAAAGGTAACTGAGGTGATAAAAAGAAAATAATCACTCAGTTGCGTGATTATCTCTGCGCTTCTGGTACTGAGAAGAGACCATGCTTTGCTAGCAGGGCGGGGTGAGGCTTTCATCCTGTAAGCCAACACAGAGCCGCGAGCATCAGGGCGAAGCTGGGCGTCTCTGAGCCCATACTGTCAGTCGCAAAGCAGTGCTGATAATTGGTATAGCCCGTATCGCAATCTGTCGCAACTTGGGTGCCGACAGCAGCAAGAGGTGACACGTCTCCATTTCGAGTGTGGGATGTGGAATCGAATCCAGCAAGAAGCCGGTCTTGGGCGGCATACACATCAGATGAGGTGCATGATATGTAGAGGCCCAAGGCACACAGCCAACGCCTTAATGATGATGTAATTGGAAGAAAGGCTTTCCTTCTGTTCCAGCAAGCAGAAGGGAGTCGTGACAGGACCGAGGCACCCTTGAAGGCTGGGGTCGAATGCTAATTGGACTGGGAGATTGGGGAAAATGTAAAACGACACCCCCCCGGGTGTCGATTATACGATTCAGTGGATTTTAGAGTTTTAATAATGCCTAATTAGTTGCTTGTACTTACTTAAGTCCTTCTCTCGAATCAGATTTCCTAATATAGGTATAAGGAAGTTTGTATATAAGAGCTCTAATTTGGGGCGTGGAACAGGCGAGGCGATAATTGCGCGCGAGGTAAATTAGTTCCAGGCACTTGATCGCTAAATTTTCAGGCTCTCATAGTGCCCTAAAAATTCCGACTTTCCTTACCTTCTTTAATTTTTCTTAAATCTACTAATTATTATATAATAAAAACTTTATATTCTATTAGCTTATAATCTGGCTTTCTATAATATAAAAAGATAATTAAATTATAACAATTCTTTATATAGTAAATTAAACTTAAAGGAAAACGAGATTTTTTGGTGTTCCTCTCTACTTTAGGTTAGTCCGGCCCCCAATCGACCCCCGGGGGGGGGGTCGTTTTACATTTTCCCGGAGATTGCCACAAGACATTTTTGCTCCAGGGAATATGATTCGGAAATAACTTGCAGACCCCCACGACGAACTTTTTGACAACCCCTCATCACGGCTTGCAAGGTCGTACGGAAATATAGAGGAAAAGAGATTAATTTGTGCACAAGACCAAAATGAAGTTACAATTTTGGAAGCCCCTTCCTTTCCTATGTTTTCCCCGTCCTCTTCCATCTCCTTCTCATCTCCCCCTCTCATCCAAGTGGCCCTCCCGCTCAAGAAAGGGGCCCATTAGGGTGAATCAAAACTTTGGTGTACCCATCCTCCCTCCTATCAAACTTAACATACGCCTGCGGGGCCTCCTCAATGCTGATCTCGTGCGAGACGACGAAGGAAGGCTTGGCGCGACCAGAGATGATCATGTCGCGCAGGTAGCGGTTGTATTGCTTGACGTTGCATTGGCCTGTGCCTATTGTCAAGCCCTGTTTCTTCTGTTAGACATCCCATCCCCATCATGGTTTGATATAATTCTCTTCAGGGATGGGTGAAGGCGAAAGGGAAATGGAGACGAACCTTCTCAAACAACTTCCCAAAAGAAATCAAAAGCATCCCCTTCCCAGAGTTCGCATCCGGCGCCCCAGGGTCAGACGGGACGTAGAGACCCGGAACACCGATACCGCCTGTAGGTCGAGTGACCTTAATACAGTTCTCGAGCACAATAGACGGCATTTCTTTCTTGCCATCTTGGGCTGAGGCTTGGTAGCCTACTGCGTCAACAGATCGATCAACCATGTCCCCATTCAACTTAATGATTTCCTCCACAGAGTCTACTTTGCTAAAGTCAACAGCCACACAGCCAATCTTCTCCGCGGCCTTCAACCTCTCAGGCACACTATCCACCACAAAAACCTTACTCGCGCCCCGAAGTACCGCGCTATACGCCGCCATGAGTCCCACCGGTCCTGCACCAAACACAGCAATGCTCTCTCCGGGTTTGAATCCGGAAAGGACCACGCCGTGCCACCCCGTGGGGAAGATGTCTGCGAGCAGGATGAAGTCTGCTTCATGCTCTGTGCCGGAGGGGAGGGGCAGGCAGTTGAAGTCTGCGTAGGGGACGCGGAGATACTGCGCTTGCCCGCCTTGGTAGGGACCCATGGCTACGTAACCGTAAGCGCCTCCGGCGAAGCCGCTTGGTGGGTGTTAGCAAGAGGTGCTTGGTGGGGAAAGGGGAGAAGAGGAGGAAGGGGGGGTTACGGATTAACGCCAGTACAAAAGGCAGTTCGTCCTTCCTCGCAGTTGCGGCAGCGGCCATCGGCTACGTTGAAGGGCATCACGACTCTATCTCCTTTTTTGAGCAGGGAGACGCCGGAGCCTGTCTCGAGGACGATGCCCATGTTTTCATGACCTTTTTCGAATCAGCCTCATTACGGGAATGGGGAACAAATGAAAAGAATGCAGAGAGATACTCACCGAAACATAAGCCCCCTTGAGCGGCAGTACGCCCCTGGTACATGTGCAAATCACTGCCGCAGATGGCGGCAGTGGTTACTTTGATCAGGGCATCATCTGGATGCTCGAGTTTTGGGAAGGGTCGCTCTTCGATGGTGACTTTGAAGGGTTCTATTTCGAGTTAGGAATAACTTGATGGAGAAAGAAATTCATTTCCAACCCAACAAGGTTGAAGTTGGGGGCAAAGGTGGGGACAGGGAGGAATACCTTGATAGACGACCGCTTTCATTGTCTGGGTGTGAGTTTGAGACATCTTGGTTGTTTTTTTAATTGTTTTCTTAATTCGCTTTTTCACACTTGATTCAATAATGAATAGATGGAATAGATTTGAATTATCCGATTTTTGAACAGGGAGACATGAGCTTTGAGAGAAACGAGAGCACCGGGATCACCGGATCTCCTTCTTATAACCAGGTGGATCATATCATTATTTATTTACGATTATTCCCCTTAGGAGACTTGGTAATCCCATCTCACCTCTCATCGTCTAGAACGTCACTGACCCCGCAGCGGGGTGCACGCGGGGTACGCGTCCATCCCCTTCCTGGAAATGGATGGGATCGTCGGTCTGACGCCAAGCGTGTAACGGCTCTGCACGTGATTTTGAGGGGATCTAGATCTCGAAATTAAATGGGGAGGATGGGGAGAGGTAGTGGTGAGGGCGAAAGTTGGACCGAGGGAAAGGTCGAGATGGTGGATTTTTTTTGCGGGGTGGAGGTGTAGTTGAAGCGCCAAGTGGGGGCGGGGCAGCGGAATAGAAAAACAGTTCGCAGCTCAGGGGAGGGGGTTCGACGGGTATAAACTTTCTTCAAGCCCTCCTCCCCTTTCTTGATTTGATTCATAATTTTTGAGGTCTGGATTCGATTTGAACACGGCTTGGAAATACATTAGATTGATAAAGGACATTCTGGAACTAGTGAAAATGTCAGGTCAAGTTCATGTTTTAGCGATTATTACTCCTGCGAAGGGGAAGGAAGCAAGGGTAAGGTTTCCCAGATGGGAGATGTAGTTTTGCTAATTGAGCGTAGGTAGGGCAGCTTCTTACGGACCTTGCGAATAACGTGAAGCAGAATGAGAAAGATGTTGTAAGTCTCCCTTCCCTACCACAGACCTCCTCCCGTTGACGCCTTCGACAGCCTAAGTATGAATTGTTCGAGCAATACAATGGCCAGGGAGGAAATGTATTTGTAGTCGAGGAGATTTGTAAGTCGGTAGAGTTTCGAGGTCCAGAGTCCTTGGCTGACAACAAGAAGACAACAACCAAGCGGTCTACGACGCACACTTCAAGACAGATTATTTCACTGCGTTGGGCGAGACGATCCAGAAGGAAGGATTGCTGGCTGCCCCTTTGGATATCAAGACTATCAAGCCAATTGGTGGATTTGCGTCGAGATAGAGGTGTGCTTGACCAACAAAGATCTCAATTGATGCCAGCTTTGCCTTGATATATGGGATGCCCGGTCCTGTTAGTTTGCACATATATGTAGCTATTCTAATGGAAAGTTGAAAGATTGGTATGGTTTGTTCGAATCGTTCTCGTCCATGTGGGGCTCTCACGTCTGGCCAGTCTCTTGCTGCCAGGCGAATCCCACCTATATTTTTCCATCCAAAGACTAGTTCATCTCTCATATACAGCCGCACCATATCAGCCTCCCATGCTCGGCTGCGTGAACCTATCTCTAGGTTGCATACTAGTCGAGAGTTCAAGCAGGCAGCATTTATACGAGCTGATAGATTTCAACCAATTGCCACGCAGGAAAGTGACCTTTCCGCCTTGGAATAGACCGACCAGATGAAAGAGATGCCGGAACAATACATGTCTCAGCACTTTTGCAGGATGTGACGCAACGGCGATTCCAATCTTGTCATTTTAAACTCATTCTAGCATATTACTTAAAGAGCTGCTGCAATCTATAAAGTGTGAAGCCTGTCATTATTGAATGTAAACATCTTTCCACTGGGCTGCCCCTGAATCTTTAAGGTCACATAGTATGTCATGGGAAGGACCAGACCTTCTGTACCTTAGTCCCTTAGTCAGCGGCATCCACGCTAGCCTCCTTAAGAGGCAGTAGCGGTTCGTCTATCAAAATGCATACATTTTGATCTCTTCTTCTTCCTCGACATGGTAGCAATGCAAGGTTAATTACGTCAAGTAATCCTTCGTGGATCAAGAAGGGATCACGCACTTCCGCACCATACAAAAATTCCCCGAACGCGGATAAATTTGCTTCCGCCACAACCAACCACACCTTATAGAATAATCAATCCATCAAAGGAACCATTACGACCATCTCCCGGCCATCTCACGGACCGAGGAAATCCAGACTTTGGCTCCTTATCAAGTACCAAGGAAGAGCCCTCGAGTACGTAATTCAATTGGGTCTATCGATTAGTTAAACACCACACCCGACCAAGTCCGGTTGCGAACCATACGTTACTAAACTTCAAATCATCGAAATCCATAACTAATTCTATCCAGAATCACCTCGCAGATCCAGAACTTGCCTTCTTATAGAAGCCAAACAGGATCCCGAGTAAATTATTAGTTCATAGCTTTATCCGACCTTGGTACTAAGCCGATACCCCTCTATATATCGTAGCCGGGGCCGAGGTAAACCCTAGTAACCAAGAGAATTAAACGGTTAATTCATTAAAAAATCCAAGTCCAAATCTCCCGAATCCTTAATTTCCTTATCTCCCGTTATTAGTAAATACTATTAATGGCTACTACTAGTTCCCGACCGTCTCTTGGACCGGCTTCGTATAACCAGCTTGGTATAACTAATTACTACGTAACTAATTAATATATAACCGACTAATATAGTATAACCCGTAATTATATTATAACCTGTTCCTACTCCTATAGTTTCCCCTCTTTCTCCTCCAGAATACAGATAGCTATAAGAGTTATAGGACCTCTAATCCGCCCTCACATTAACGGTTTCTTCTATAGAAGGTCCCTTACTAATATAACCGAAATAATATCGAATCTCCTATTACCGGATTATATCCCTTCCATTAGACCTTTAACGGATTTATAAGGAAGCCTTCCCTATTAAGGAATATATTAAGAATCTAGTATTTACCTAGAGATAACTGTTACCTTAATTACTATCTATAACTTCTAATATCTCCTGCAAGATTCCTAACTTATCTAACTATACTTTATTATTAAAGCAATTATAATTAAATCCGGAAGGAGTACGGAATCTCTTTATCGAAATGGCTAGATTAGCTAGACCAAGCGGTAATAATAGTCCAAGAGGAAGCTTTAGTACCCCAAATAACTTTTACTCTAAGTAATCTTGGAAGAGGAATACCGTACTTATTATTATTCTTATAGATAAGATAGATACCGGAGCCTTTCCATATCTTAAAAGCTATCTCTCGAATAAAGATATTAGAAAAGCTACTACTATTATTAAAACCATAAATAAGAAAACCAGAATGGAATTTAAGGACTATACCGAGAATACTATTAGTATTTGAACCTCATATATTAATAATATTAATCTCTTTATATGTTTTATAGATTATTTCAAGTCCGGACTAATCCCGGAAGATAACCAAGATAACTCGGATAATTCTCTACCTAATAAATTTGACCAGAACTATAAATATTATAGTATCCTGGACTATAAATCTCTTTTTGGAAAGGATAAGGAGATATAAAATAACCGGAATAATAGAAATAGTAGTAATCAAGATTATGTTTACTATAAGGAGAGTAATAATTATTATTATATAGATAAGAATACCCATAAGTTAATTTACCGAGATACTTATTAAGGAAACCTAGGCGGTAACTCGGATAATAGCTTTAATTTCTCCGAAGATAGATCTTATTAAGGATCCTATCAAAGCTCCTACCGAGGTAATCGAGATTATTAATACCGTTACGGATCTACTAATTACCGAAATAATTATAGTAACTCCTATTAAGGAATCTTTAGAAGAACCTGGCACCTATAGGTTAATAATATTAGAACCTTTAATGGCTTCCTTTTAGGTATAACCGCTATTATATATTATAGATGCCTTATATTCTTGGCTATAACCTATAGTAAATAACCGGTCCTCGTAACTCTTTTGCTTTATATAAGAGAGAAAGCCCTTAATTAGTTCTCCGGACTAAACGAAGATATAACTATATTTATAGCCGAGAGTCTCGAAAAATAGAAGATCTAATTAATCTAATAATTTAATATAAATACCTTATAAGCTCTTTTAAAGGCAGATATAATGAAATACTTATTTGCGGATAAATTAGTCTTGGATATATATAAGTATATTACCGAAAAGCAAGGTTTATATATAGTAGCCGGAGAAAAGAATAAAGATCTAATTATATACCGTATCCATAACGGACTGGATCTAACCCTGGCCTTAACTATTAGTTTGAGGGATAGCCATAATACTATAAACGATTTCTGTTCCAAGGTCTATTTAGTGAAATATAAAGCTCGAGCTTAATACTAATAACTCTAAAACCAGCTTCAAGCCCAGTTCAAGATAATAGAAGACAGATTTTCTATAAAACAATTATACCAGGGATACTCTTCCGGATAGGCTCTATGTTATAACTAACCGTACTAATAGCCGTACTCCCAAAACTGGACGGTAGATTAAATATAATTGCCTCTATAGTATACTATTCTAACTACTATACTATAGTAATCGGAGAAACCAAAGAATATTAACGGTATCCAGAAGGAATTAGGAAACTCTAATACGATTATAGTTCTATCTATTAGATACTTTAGCCCCGCTAATTAATAATAATAAGCTATTCTCGGGGGATTCTAACTATACTATATAATCATAGTACCTCCCGTTATTATAACCCCGGCTCCGGTTTATTAACCTTAGTACGAATACCTATACCTATAACCCGTATATTAATTAAATTAGTATAATAGATAAGGAAACTAGAATAGTTATAATTAGAATAACTGGAATAATTATAACCAAAACCGAAATAACTGGAATAACCGAAGTAATTGGGATAACCGTAATTGATTTAATAACTAGCTAGTTACTATAATAATAGTTAATACTAACTCTGGCTATAAGGAATATATACTCGTTAATAAAGAGATATTCGACTCTTATTAATAATAGATCTGTCTTCCGGTTAGATCTTAACTATTCTATATGGATACCCCCGGTATTACCGGAACCCTATATATAGATAATATACCCTCCTCTTTACTTGCCGAGGAGGGAAACTCCCAGGGCGGTTCTTAGCAGGGTACTAACCGCCTTATTAGTATATTCTACTATCCGTACTATAATATCCTCAGAATTTAGTTAGTACGGATACAGATTACTCTTATAATAAACCGTTAAGCCATACTATCCATATACTATAAACTATAGAAATCCTATATTCTTCTGGGAAACAGATCTATATATTACCTGTAGTATATGAGCTATTAGCTTCCAAAGATAAAGATAATAATAGATTTATTTATATTAATTCAAAAAAGAAATTAAGACTTCCTAAAACTTTGACTATATAGATTAAAACTATACGAGAAACGAAGAAGCCGGAAGCTTCCTGAGTCTCCTTTGCAAATCTACTATATATTACTATAGAATCCCCAAGTAATATCTCTAAAACCATAGCCCCGGAAGACTTATTAAACTCGATAGTTATCTAGACGATTTTACTAGATCTATCCCTACCTGGCTTTACTTAACTTGTCCTAGCCAAGATCTCAAGGGACTTATCTAAGACTCTAATAAATAGTTTTCTCTCTAAAAATACGGCTCGAAGATTTATTAAAGCCATAGAACTTCTTCTCACTAGACGGAAACCATCCCGAAAAGCAGCCAAGGGGAAAACTGTTTTAGTAGTACTCCTAAATAGTATCTAGTATATACTAAATACTAATACTCGTATTATAGTATATATGAGCAAGGGAATCCCGATTATATTATATCCGGATACCGGATCTCCTATTAGTCTTATTAACCGCTCTATATTAGCCAAGAGATTCCCAAGTATACTAATTAAGACCCTCGAGGACGGCAGTTAGCTAGCTCTTTAGGAAATAGGCAAGGAACCTATAATAAACGAATATATAGATATACCTATCTGTTATAAGACTATAGAATATGAGATAGTAGAATTTCTTGCTATCCGGGTTCATATTATAGATAGGCTACTAGAGAGTATCTTCTTTCTTGGTTTGAACTTTATTATTCCGAATACTCTTGATTTCCGATAGGGATATAATAGATCTCTCCTATATTGTCTGTAAATAGGAGACTCCGATTTATATATTTTACTATATACCAAAATTATAAAGAAGACAGAGAAACCTAGGCCAGTAGCCATTTACCTTACAGAAACCGTTATTCTTGAACCCGGATAAGGCCAGAACTTACTAATCCGTTATTATACTTTACTAATTATAAAGAACGGATACCTTTTTAACCCTCTCCCTTAAGCAGACCTTGCCCTTAATAAATTCGGGATTATAATAAACTATATTATAAACGGAACCCAGAAG